AACCTCATTAAAAAAAATAGCATACATTAACAAAATTTATATCTAGTTGTTTCAGTTTCCATAATAAAGACTGAGAGCGTCGCTATAGAAAGCTGCATGCCAGCAAGTTCATATAAATCCACCTCCATTCTGCCAGAGCCTCCATTGTCTCTCAAAGCGTCATCAAGAGTCCATCTGTCACATATATTACTTAAACAAATTAACGTGAAGTTTGATGATTATATAAGTGTGGTGAAGCGAAAATGGACTCTCAAGAATTTAGAGAATTCGCAAAAGCGGCAATAGATATAATTGCTGATTATTGGGATAATATTAGGACTCGGTATGTTATTGTTATTTATTTATTTATTGAGAATTAGTTATAGAGCCATCAAACTCAAAACGTCTCGTATTCTTAAAAATTAATTCGTATAAAACCTCTTAACTACAAAAACTTGACATTTTTCCCCGGACAAATTGGTCTTGTGCTTGCTGTAGTATTACTGTTTTTTTTATATAATTTACTACATAATTTATAAGAATGCTAACAGTATGATGAGTAATCACGTTGTGTATGATGTCCGAAATTTTGTTATTTATTTATAGAGCATTGCTTTAAAAAATAAAATAAAAAACTCACTATTAAGTAAAGTTATGTAACTTAGTTAAAAAGTAAATTATGTAGAAATGTGACCGCAAAATTGCACCATTTTTTTTGCTTTCCCCACTGTTCTGAACGAAATAAAATCATGACAAAAGTAGTCACAGCTTACGGTAAAATGAGCCATACACATGATGTCATTTTACCCTTGCAGAGTTTAAATTTTCCCCAAAACCGCCATGGCTCTCATTAAAAATAAAATATTCGATTGCTTAAACAATTTGCTGCTTTTGTCGTTAATTGATTTGTATGAAATGTCAATAAAAATTGTACAAATTAGAAATCGTCGTAGAACACTTTGGTAAAAGGTTTTTAGCCGACTTCAAAAAAGGAGGAGGTTTTCAATTCCAATTTTTTTTTGTGTGTGTGTTACGCGATTACTCACGCGGCATTTGTGAACCAATTTTGACGTTTTTTTTGGAATGAGGGTACCTCAGTATTGGGCCCATTTAAATTTGAAAACAAAAATTCCCTCTAAGGATGGCAAGCTAGGGGATGAATCCGGTTTCGCGCACTTTCCGGTTTCCGATTTCAATCAATAGATGTAATTCCACGAACTTTTGAGGTCAGCTTTTTTTTAATAAAAAAGTTATAATTATTACAACGTATCTACGTAATAAACATAAATGCTACGTAAAATGTGAGTTTTCGCAAATATACTAAATATAGGTAATGTTGTCCCTTAAAACACGTTTTAAATTGTAATAGTGTGCCAAGCAACCACACCAATTGCCGGTCTCAAAGTAGGGAATTCCCTGTACCTGTTATGAGTACCAGAGCAGCGGAATTGACTCTGGGGCACATTCCAGAATACCCAGACCAGAACCAATTTAGAAAATATCTTTGCCCATATTGGTCCTACCGGAAATCGAATCCGGGAGATCCGGATCCAATGCCCTCAATGTAAACCGTTAGGCCACCAAGGTCGTCCAATTCTTTATATCACGAAATAAATATGAAATTAAAATCGAGTTAGGTAAATCTGGTTCCTCCTATAAAATTTGAAAGATAAGCACATTCATGGTGAAGGTTAATAAAGATTCAATAAGGCAAATTATTAAAATAAAATACAAATTATCTCAAGAACCAGTGTGCAAAAAAACACAAGCAGTAAATTAACTTTAATATCAATGCTAACTATTCAGTAAATTATAGACGACGGAACTGCGGAAAGTTAAAAAATCAAGATTTATCTCTATAATTATTATTGATAATATATTGAAAATATTCACAACACCATTATCAAGTTAGTGTAGAATTTCTATCTAAGTAATTGTTCCTATAGCGCCGGCAACAGTACAGTCAAGCGCATTGACAATGTAATAAATCTACTTTTACACCATTGACTTTACACTGAATATTTGATCTCAGTTTAACTGTCGACTTATTCATTCTCTCCATTGCATCTTTGAAATATCTTTGTGTTGCCTTCTATACTAGTCGCATGGCACGATTGGGGCGCCGACCAGAAATCGGGGCTGCGATCACCGCTCTGGATTGTGGTAGGTTCAGCAGGTGTCCATTGCCACCTAGCGAGGTAACGCTGCCAGTATAATGAGAGCATTTTAGCCAGATACGATACAGGGCAAGATTTTTTAGGTTAGGATTTTATTATTAATACATCTTGAGGAAGCCTAACGCAGATTTTTAGGTTGTAATATGTAAGTGTATGATCTTTTTAGTATCTATTTTTATTGTCCTGTCGTGGACTCTGCCATGGGACATCGCTTAGGCCCATTTAGATGGAGAGAGTTTCTCGTCTCGAAGATACGATTATCGAAAGAATATAAAAAACTTTCCTCGTCTAAGCATTCGCGATTATCGCCCTTCCACGTGAGCGATAATCGCATCGCCTTTCAATATTGAATGTCTCCGTGTAAACAGAACTTGAAAGCAAAAATCGTATTTCGAGTTTTTGTGCCAGCCGTTTCTACCATAAGTACAGCGCGCGAAGGTGTTTTGATTATCACTGCTTTTCTAAGACAAGAATGAAGGAAAGGAAAAAGAAATAAAAGGATTAAGAAATGTTGTAAAATTTTAAAAAAGTATATACAGTGCAATGAACTTAATATTATCAGCAGTTCCAAATTTCAATGATTTTTGCGTCATTTTGATATATTCATAGTCAATACCGCTGTAATCACTGAACTGGAATGGCAAATCTTGCACTCAAAACGTTTCGAACCGATTTGTACGATAATCGTATGAACTTGAGAAAATATCATACGAGATCGTGTTTAGACAAGTCGAAAACTCGTAAGCAAGAATCTCCTTACTACATATTTCTCTGTGTAAACAGTCGAGGAGGCGATTAAGTTGCTTGCGAATCTCGTATGACATAATCGTAGACAAGATTTTAGTTCTTTCCTCAATGTAAACATTATGATACGATAATCTTATGGCGATTATTGCTTACGATAATCGCGTACGATTTTTCGTCACGAAGCGTGCCATAAACTCTCTCCATCTAAATGGGCCTTTAGTCGTGTTACTTTGCTACCGTGTACTGGCTCTTACAATATGGCGTGAGTTCTGGAGATGCGCGGCCGACTGGTAACGTGCGTTCAGAAGAAGAAGCGAGATGTAAGGGCGATTGCGCGTGTGGCACAGCATGCGTCCGCGAGCCCTTACTTCGTTGTTGATTAAATTTGGAAAATGTGACCAGAATCGTAAATAATCGTCGGTTCGAATCCGGCCGGATTGAAGGATTTTTTTCTGAGTGTTCGATCTTCGTATTAATAATTAATACGAATATAATTTATCATTTTTTTATAACTTATAAAATGTAATATGAATGTATAATGAATATCTATGCCCATGTCTATTGCAAGGAAATCAAATTGACCGTCACTAAGCTATATTTTCAATACACATCGAATTATTTTTTATTTAAGAGATGATAAAAATACATTTTTATTTCTTATTTTAAAGAATAAATATTGAAAATTAATACCCCACAAAATTGTTTTGCCTATTTGCTTTTTAATTTAACTTAAAGCATTGTATAGGTAGATTTATGAGCCGTTAATAAATCTGTTATTAACTACGCAAATTTTGCAGTCAACTGTAGAGTTTACCAGTGTCGAGCTAATCACTCGACCGAAAGATTCCATCATGAAATTACTATTAAACCAATTACACGACAATTATGAACTAATCGCCGCATCTTTTCCTTCCATTGTTAGTATATAAAAACATTACAACAGATCGTCAGCAGCAAATTATATTTACAAGCGGCAAACATAATTTACTAATAGTCTACGATCTATAAGTAACTAATAAAACGTTAATACGAATTAAAAATTCTGTAGGTTTTTATAATAAATTTTTATTATACAGAGTAAGTCAATGATACTTCTAAACGACAAAATGGTGAAGTAAAAAAAAAGTATTTACTAGGTATCGTTTGATACTGCTTGAAAAACTTGTAAATAAAATACTTATAAATAAATGAACTACGCATATACAATCTAAAATTGTTAGATTTTCTCATAAACATCATGCATCGAATACATAACCAAAAAAAAACTTTTTTGCAGCTCCTGAAAAGTTGCATTTTGTTCTTTACGTCAATTTAACTGCTTTCGTGGCGGAACGGTTACCATCCTGGTCTACCACGCAGAGGTGCCCGGTTCGATTCATAAAGAAAAAAATATTTAAATTTCTGTTTGTGTCTATGACACCCGCGACACAGGGTTTCCCTTGTGCGGGACTAGGAGTGTGTGCGTTATTATTATTATAGTATTCATGAGAATATTTCTATTAATGGCAATATATCTTTGTTTATTCTTGAAAATATACCATAGTGCGAGCGTTATTAATTCAAACTAAAAATAACTTAGATTATGAATTACATAAATAGAATTATTCATAGTATCGACTTCCTGAACTTGCCTTGACTTGAGTGGTTGGCAAATAATTTGTTATTAGCTCTACAATTTGCAACACACAGGAGCAAAAGAAGAATCAGCGACCTAATTATCAGCTAATGCAATGCATAATTTTTCTCGTATATTCGAAGCTTTTTTCCTCGAAGATTTTTTTCGTTAAATTTAATTTATCTTCCATTATTATATACTGATTGATACTGAATCACAGTTTTCAAATTTTATAATTGTTTTAGGCCCTCATTGCATTTATTTGCCTAAGATCTTAGGGACAAGGAAATTTTCATTTGCCAGCCCTGCCTGCTACAACGACGGTTCCAGGCAGCACAAATTGAGATACCTCCTTTTGCCCTCTGACATGTTTGGCATATCGTTTATTGATTTTTTTTTCTGTGAATATGTTATTTGTGTCCAAAAAAGTGTCATTGTGGCAATAACGAATTTTTGTATTTGTATTTTCCTTACCACTCTAGAAAAAGCTAGATTACACTAGACCATAGTTTCCCAAAGTGTTCCCTAAAACCCCAGTGGGCTCTGTAGAATCCTAGGGTGGTAGTGACCTCGAAATCAATTTGGGGGCGTTGATGCTGTCCAGGCGGAGCTACCGCATTTGAAAAAAAAACCTGAATTATTTATATAAATTACACTACAGTTTTTATCATGCTTAAATTTAGCGAAAAAGTTTGGGAACCTATGCGCTAGACGGAGAACTCATATTTTAATTTGATTTAAGCTTTCACGATTTTCACACGTTATTTGATTTTTTAATTATTGATTTTTAAGGACTTAATCACGTATAAAACATATTTTATTTACCTCGATGTTTCGGACGTATTGCAACGTCCAACCAATTTTGATGTTTTTTTTTGGAATGAGGGTACAGTATGGGGCCCATTTAAATTTGAAAAAAATATTCCCCTCTAAGGATGGCAAGCTAGGGGATGAATCCGGTTTCGCGAACTTTCCGGTTTCCGATTTCAATCAATAGATGTAATTCCACGAACTTTTGAGGTCAGCTTTTTTTAATAAAAAAGTTATAATTATTACAACGTATCTACGTAATAAACATAAATGCTACGTAAAATGTGATTTTTCGCAAATATACATATAGGTAATGTTGTCCCTTAAAACACGTTTTAAATTGTAATAGTGTGCCAAGCAACCACACCAATTGCCGGTTTCAAAGTAGGGAATTCCCTGTACCTATTATGAGTACCAGAGCAGCGGAATTCACTTTGGGGCACATTCCAGAATACCCAGACCAGAACCAATTTAGAAAAAATCTTTGTCCATATTGGTCCTACCGGAAATCGAATCCGGGAGATCCGGATCCAATGCCCTCATTGTAAACCGTTAGGCCACCAAGGTCGTCTAATTCTTTATCAATTCCATTCTTAATTCCATTTTTAATTATTGATTTTTAAGGACTTATTCACGTGTAAAACATATTTTATTTACCTCGATGTTTCGGACGTATTGCAACGTCCATGGTCTCGAAGGGACTGAAGAGGCTGGTGTCAGCATCTTGCATGCCAGTTTTTATAACTACCCGCACTAGACCTTCATTATTTATTTGTGCACTAGGGTTCTCACTAGACCGAAACACAACACTCACGACATCCAGCTCATATTTTAATAAAAACGACTTACCTATCTTATCATCACAGCCTTAAATTAACGTGAATATATCACTAATTTGAACTGATTAATATCAACTGTGTTCTTTTCGCTTACTGTTAATAAAAATGTCAAAACATTAATTTTTAGAGATGTGCTACCGTCGGTAGAGCCGGGATATCTTATAAACGCCCTCCCAGAAGATGCGCCTGAGCATCCCGAAGAATGGAAAGATGTAATAAAGGACTTCAATGAGCATATTCTGCCAGGCGTAAGTATCGAAACTAACCAAAAGCATATACCTCTATTGCCTAGTAAAGCAGAGATGCCCAATTCTTAACATCAAACGAACATACACAGACTTACCTCAATATAGCTACAACAGAAACAACTATACGTTCAAAATGTGGTTTGTTGAAGTATGTACTTTGCTCTAAAAAACATATTCATTTAGTAAAAACATCAAACGATATTGATAGTTAGTGAATTAACCATAGTTTTTAATAATAAAACTAAGTAAGTACTATTTTCCTTAACAGACTACTCACTGGCACTCACCACGTTTTCATGCATTCTATCCTACTGGCAATTCATTTGCCAGTATCGTTGGCAATCTTCTCAGCGATGGACTGGGAGTTATAGGATTTAGCTGGGTAAGCAATATACGGTGCACTCTAGGATAAAATTTAAAAAAAATTAAGATTTGAAAGTAATACTCAGCAAATATTTACTTATCACTTTGTTTCTTTTAGATGTCAAGCCCCGCGTGCACGGAATTAGAAGTAGTGACCATGAACTGGTTGGGTAAGTTACTCGGTCTTCCAGAAGAGTTTCTTAACTGTTCAAGTGGACCTGGTGGTGGAGTTATTCAGGTAAACAACTAACATATTTTTTCTTTGGTTATGTTTGAAGCTAATATAGGTTCATGTTCCTTGTAAATTTACTTTCAGGGTTCAGCAAGTGAAGCAACACTAGTAGGATTGCTCGTAGCAAAAGAGAAAACGTTACGCAGACTTAAGAAAAATGATCCCAACATCGATGAGGACCTAATCAAAGCAAAATTGGTCGCCTATACTTCAGATCAGTGCAATTCCTCGGTAGAAAAAGCTGGAGTACTTGGTTCCATGAAGATGAAATTGTTAAAGTCAGACGCTGACGGAAGACTTCGCGGTGACATGCTTAAAAAAGCTTTCGAAGAAGATAAAGCTCAAGGTCTTATACCCTGTTATGTGGTTGCTACTCTGGGGACGACTGGAACGTGTGCATTTGACCCATTATATGAATTAGGACCAGTTTGCAACGAAGCTAATGTGTGGCTGCATGTTGACGCTGCTTACGCTGGCAGTGCTTTCATCTGTCCTGAATACAGGGAATTAATGAGAGGCGTAGAGTACGCAGACTCGTTCGATGTTAACATTCATAAATGGATGCTTGTCCACTTCGACTGCTCGGCTATGTGGTTAAAAAATGGACATGACCTGATCAACACTTTCGATGTACAAAGAATTTATTTAGACGATATAAAGACAACAATAAAAATTCCGGATTTCAGACACTGGCAGATGCCTCTTGGCCGTAGATTCAGGGCGCTTAAATTGTGGTCAGTTCTAAGGATTTACGGTGCTGAGGGTATTAGAAGACACATCAGGAATCATATAAGCCTTGCTCAGTATTTTGCAACGCTGGTAAGAGCTGACGAAAGATTCGTGGTGGAGCCTGAGCCATCCATGGGATTAGTGTGCTTCAGATTGAAACATGGAGATAAAATAACGAAGAAACTGCTAGATAATTTGACGGAAAAAAAAGAACTCTACATGGTAGCTGGCTCATGTCGCAGAAACTATGTGATCCGCTTTGTGATTTGTTCTCGAGTGATCACAAAGGAAGATGTTGACTACAGCTGGAACAAAATCAAAGTTGAAACCGATATCGTGTGCTCGGAAGAAATACACACAAAACCACAAATTCCTGCTATTAACCATATACAAGCTGCCACGTTATGTGAGAAGTCCAAATGAATATTTATTACGTACCTATGTACAAATTCTATCTTACTTAGCATCTAATGTAATTATCTATTATCCGCAAAAAAATCATTAAAATTTAAGCGAGACGATCACTCCCGATTTATTTGGTCACTAATTTTTATGTAACACAGACTAAAAAATGAAAAATCTTATAATTAGGTAACATGGACATAAATAAAAAGATAAAAACAAACTTCCAAAGGTTTCAATTGTTTATTACAGTAAATAATAAGGTCCGATATTTTCCTTCCTTTTTATGTGTATAGTATCATTTTTACGTATAGGATAAATGTATATATATATAGTCATAATAAAATAGATCAATGTACTTTGAACATGAAATTGGCGGAAATTCTGTGATGTCATTTGCGTTTACAAATAAATGTCTTTCTTAGTTTCTTCTTTCTTTCTAAACACTTTAACAAGTCAAATTCAACAAAATTAGAAGAACTCGTTGGCTTTGGATATTAACTAAATTGTTTCCGATTTACATTCACGATGTTTGTTGTTTTCTTTCATATTTACACGCAACTGCACCTACGACCTACACAAAGACCGTAAGAATATCCTTTGCGCAAGCAAGGCTCTCGGCAGACAATATCCTCAGTGACTTCCTCGAACTCGCAATGGACTACTTGATAAGGGTGATGCACTGAAACTGGTTCTGGTGACTCTGAAATACAAACACTTTCTGTTAAGTGTCGATTCGCAAAAAACCGGAAACTGTACTTAATGCAGCCTCAATCCTTATCAGCAAATAAGGGACAACTTTCATTTATCATTATCACGATCTCTATATACTGGTACAATTACAGGCATATGGAACTTGTCAACTGATGTCTCAGGGTGACGGGAGCAGTAGCATTGCCCCTAAATCTTTGCGATTTAAAGCTATGACTAGCAGTGCTAGTCATAGCTTTAAATATACTTATTAGGGATAAATGTGTCGCTTACCAGGCACGCGGCGCACGACTTGTTCGTCCCGTTATAATACTATAAGTAGAGATACGTATAGAGAATATTATAAATATTATTTCTTAGTTTATAAACTTTGGCTAATCCAAACTAATATTATAAATTTATTCGAATTATATATAGAAATATAATTGCTTTCGAATTATGTCTGTTACGTTTTCAACACCTAAACCTAAGCTGAACTAGATTTAATGAATTTTGGTATAAAGATACATGGAAGAAAGAAGGATATAGGTATTTTTTGTCACAAAGATAAATCTTAAAGGGTGCTAAATAGGGAATGAAAGTTTGTATAGAGAGCCAATTATTTCTCAAGTAAGTAGTAGGTACAGTAGGCTGCTCGAGCATTTTTTTTATAATACATATTAAGTGACGGGACTAACAAGACGTGCGCCTGATGGTTAGCTACACGCCTGTCCATAAAAGTTGCAGTGCCACTCAGAGCTTTAAATCGCATACGAGCGCACTGCCACTGCGCCCGTCACCCTGAGACATAAGTTGACAAGTCCCGTGTGCCTGTAATTTCACCAGCACCCTTTTCCCTTAAAAAACCGTAAAACCACCAAGCAGTAGGTAATGCTGACATTAATTACAGCTTGGCGGCAGAAATAGGTATGGTAGCAGTAGGTATGCCCTGGACGAACTCTTTCACAAGGAGCTACTGCTACTAAAGATTATATTCTACGCAGAGGAAGTCGCGGGCACAAGCTAACATGTATTATGTTTTTCAAACGTAACCAATGAGTCACACATAATATGCTAAGTCGACGCAATTAACAGCATGAAATGCTATCACGCATTTGCAAGGCATGGCCTCTAAACATTCACTACACAAATATGACAAAGCAATGTTCTTGCTTAGAATACAAAAACGTTTGTTGTAATAAATAGGCACGTAATGATCGCGGATTCCTGATTTTTAATCAATGTAATGATGAGAACGACACATTTATATATAAACTGCATACCGCAGTGGATATTACTAAATATGTTTTATAATTTAAACTCATTTTCTGTATTAGGTAAAGGTCTTTTCAATAGTTATCGCTAGAACAATAAAATACAGTAGTAGTACCACAATTGCCTGTGTGTACACTAGGTACACTGTACACACTGTTACATGCTATTACGTATTGACTGCTGTTATTATTACTGTTGTTTATGCAAATCTTAGCAAAAGTTAATACAAAACAAAATATTATCAACCTACCTGCACCATGTTCTGTAATCTGTTCTGTCCTCAATTTTTCTTCCGTCCGATCTGTTACTTTCACAATTTCTTCCGTGTTTACAATAAAGTTGTTTTTAGGAAACGCCACGGCTATTTGTACACAACAAGCCACTAGAGCAACAATAAAAATGCCTTTGAACGCCATATTTTTTTGTCTCGCTATAAGTATTTTGGATCGAAATAAAAAATATTTGTATGAACGTTAATCGTATGTCTATAAAGTATTGCAAGTAAATGTGATTAAATGAGGTCAGACTGAAATCTTCCTTTTATACTGTCGGACGTTCAATGCACGCTAACTACACATTAATGAGTAGGTACGGAATACACTTCGTGGTAGAATGACTAATGCTGTTTTATTGTTTCCAGGTATGCATGCTTATAAAGTGTACGTATTCTTGAATTGGAAGTAAACATTTCTATTTCAGATTTCATCATGATACTTTAATGTTCGTAATTCTTAGTGTTAATGAACCATATAAATTAATAGAAATCCGTTTACCGGAAATTGTAAACTTGTTAAGTAATAAATTCAAAGCCAAAAGAGTTTGTGATTTCAATAAGATGATGTGAGAGACCTAGAAATTGCCTAGAAAACATATTTTCTCTTGCTTCCGATTTGAACTCTTTCCCACCAATAACTTCCACGTCCTCGTGCTCTTTTCTAAACAATGCCTCCTTAAATAAGCTATTCTCTATCATTAGTTATTGGATACGGAGGTGACGTGGCTTCCGAGTCGGAAATAGCGTCCGATTTTATTACCGATCCGTTTGTCTAAAGGCGCGCTAAGTATACAAGTCACTGATTTTTGCGGGGAAACGAAATACATGTCCGATTCTTCCCTCCGATTTGCAGCGTTGCCAATGCAAATTATTAAAAATCCCAAAAAATCAAGGTTATAAATTTAGGAAGAGCAAAGGTCATATTTCCCACATGTAATAATATTTATTCATTCTCAGTATTTATTATATTATTACTGTTACGCTTAAAAATATTGAAGAAAGTCAAAATGTACCCATCTATTACATATACGATAAGCTATAATTAGAAATAAACTCAACAAGTTGAATTAAGTTTAAACCTTACTAATTAAGCTTGACGAATGGCAAGTTGTAGTATTAAGGTCTATCCATACATATCCAGACCGTGCCCGAGACGTGAACGGGCCGTGCTCCGTCAGGGGTTCAAAATAATAACGTTGCGTTTTGTTTTGTATGAACTCGTTCACACATGTCCGTGTCCGGGGCGGCGCGCCGGTACGGGCCTGCAGTTCATACAAACTAGCACGCCCCGTCCACGTCCCGGGTATGGCCCTGATGTGTGTGGATAGTCCTTTAAAACACCTATTGCTTGGCTTTGTTCGGCAACAGCTGTATTCTTATTTCACACCGGGAACCGGTCAAAACGAGGAAGGGTCGTGCGCTCAACACGCACCGATTGATCATCATCATTCTATTTAAAAGCCAGGCTCTTGTCGGTGACTGATAATAGTAGAAATTTTACAATTCAAGACAAGGTAATTCGAATACTACTGGATGATTTTATACATATAAGCGGTTTGCTAATAATTCTATATAAATGTTGCTATATAAGCAGCGCATGTGCGATGTTGAAAAAAATATCAATATCGTTCATAAACAAACAAATAAATAGTGTTTTTGTCAGTGATTATCAATGTAACAAAATATGATAAAATTCTAAAATGCAAGGGCGTTTTCCCCACATAGCGTAATTCAAACAAAATCCCCAAACGAGTTGTCGAGTTGAAATTCCCTGTATTTGGGGAATTACCCATAAGTTGGCAACACTGCAGTTAGTTCAGAAAAGTCTGACGTAAGAATTGGACGCCTATCCCTATCGGACGTGTATTGAGTGAATCCGATCTAAAGTCGAATCCGACCATCAGACATGAAATCGGACGTGTATTACGCACTAAGTGAAAAAAATCAAAGGGAGAAAAACTAAAACAGAATTTATAAATTTAATCAATTCGTTTTTGGTTTCTCTCCCATAAATTTTCTAACCTTTTACTTTCACATTGGCATTGGTAGATACCAAGTGGTCTAGTGCCATTTAAAAAAACTGTAAAAACACCTATAAAACGTCACTTTTGACATCGGTTCGCTCCACGAGCACAAAGGGAACAATAGAAAGAGATAGCGTACATGCGTACTACTGGTGTAGAACAGAGAAAAAATATATATTCTCATCTAAGGACTAATATAATTGCTATTTATGTTTTTGGACGGGATTCTATTCTAGTTTAAAATTTATCTTTTGTGCAAATTTCTCTGCAAAACTGTATTTAAATATGGTATATTTACATTTTCCGTCCAACCTGACAGAAGAGGAGTTAATGTTGCAAGCGAAATATCAAAAGTTAAAGAAAAAGAAGAAGGCATTGCAAGCGTTGAAAGCGCCTAAACAGGAACCAGAGAAACCAGTGCTCCCGAAGCGGCCTACTGAAGCTCGTGATGCTCGTGAAATAGCACGAAAATTGATTAAAAGTGGTGCTATTCAAGCTATTAAAAGCCCCCCGCCTCAGCCACAGAACGCTACTTTTAAGAGGCCTAGAGCAGGTTAACAAGCACGTCTTTAACATTTATTTACTATCAATATTCGCTGAAATACCCTTCCGTTGTATACAACGGAAGCTACGCTCCCTGTACAGAAAAATGTATATTTTGGTGGATACTTATACTTATTTCTTACTTTGTAGAATTAATGGGCTTGCAACCTTTTGTAATATGGATATAGATAACTTGTTGTTATAAACTTTTAAGCTACTTACTTTTGATATAATTCATTTCTTTACAGGAAGAGAAAGGAAGCTAAGTGGATCAGCAGGAGCCACAGGAGGAGTAGCATCATATCAGCCATTTAGTGCATCCCAAGAGCCACCTCCCCCTGAGGAGAAGCCTGCACCACGTGTTAAATATCTCTATGACTCTTTTGTTACAGCTCGGGATAAGTAATTATATTTGAATATTTTAAAGCTGTTGTTTTTAAGCAATTTCATTACACAATATGACATGTAACAAACTCATTGACTTTAAATTACAAACTGACATTTTGTAGGGATGATAAAGGCCCCAGACCTCACCATGGTGGTGACAACCCCAATACAAACCGGACCCAGAGCAACACCCTACAGGTGACAGGACCTAGTCTCACTGAGGAAGGCATCAGGCGCAGGCTTGCAGCATTCGAGCCTTTTACTGTGGCACAAGAACCAGATGAAGACAAGTAAGTGTTTGTTTATTTCTTATTATTATACTGTCCGTTACCTTTTAACTATCAAAAACTACTACCAAATAAGTTGTTTAGTTTAAAACTTGTAATATTATTTTCATTTTTAGAATATTTGTAACATTTGAAACTGTGGAGGCCGCGGCCCATGCCCAGACATCACTGGAGACTGGTGATGAGGGCTGGCGAGTTGTATCAGCGCGACGACCCCCACAAACTGCAGGAACATGGGCACCTGCACCCTCTCCAAGAAACCCTCAGCCACCTAAAGATTCTAAACGCAATCTAGTTACTTATGATGATATATTTGATTAAAATAAAGAAAATTTAAATATGTATGGGTTCTTTTAATGTATGTTTCCAAAGCACTATAGGGCTATTACACATAAACACGATACGACATCGTGTCGTGCTGCGCGTAGGGCAGGATTAAAAAATTGTAGTCGCAGCGTGCAAGCCATCCTGCAATGCGTCCTGAGTGACTCCATACGTAGGACAGGGCCTGAAATATAGTGTCTAATATAGATTATGACCATAGGGACAATGCATAAGCAGTCTCCTGCCTGCGCGGACTGCCATGCAGTTAGTGAATAGCGATGCAAACGATACATCGATTTTTTGAAACATCGATATGCCGTTCATAAACATCGATGTTGAATCCCAAAACATCGCTCACCATGAGCGATGTTTTCTCATAGCGCCATCTTCCGTCCCGTCCGTAATCTACAGATACACACATAAACAGATACGTCTCTCAGGGCCGTATTCTAGAACTCTATTCAATGCTCAAGTCAGGATTGCACTGGAAATACGACCTTAATGGCAGGGACTTGAGTATGATTTCGAGTGCTTTAAACCATACTCAAGTCCTGACTTGAGAGTCAGGACTTGAGTATGATTTAAAGCAAGGGTCGTATTCTAGAACTCTACTGAATGCTCAAGTCAGGATTGCACTGGAGTTGAGTAGAATTCTAGAATACGACTCTGAGGGTCGTATTCTAGAACTCTACTCAGTGCTCAAGTTAGGATTGCACTGGAAATACGACCTTAATGGCAGGGACTTGAGTATGATTTCGAGTGCTTTAAACCATACTCAAATCCTGACTTGAGCATCTACTCAATACTCAAGTCAGAACTAGAGTATTGCAGTGAGCACTGAAAATCATACTCAAATCCTTCCCATTAGGGTCGTATTTCCAGTGCTTGAAATCATACTCAAGTCTGCTCAATTCCTGACTTGAGCATTGAGTAGAGTTCTGGAATACGACCCTCAAAATCATACTCGCACTACTACATAATGAGTCGCTTTAATTCGATTATATATTTACGAACGAAACCGAATTTTTCCTAAAACTTTTTGAACGCAACGACAGCTGCAACTGTCAAAAAACTTAAACCGAGTCGCAATCGAAAATATTTTTTTTGAAAAAAATTGAAAAATGTTTCGTTTGGCGAAAAAATTATTTCCTGCTGTTTCGAAAAACTTAGCGAGACACACTGGACAGAGTAATAAATGCGTCGTATTGTTATTACAACACCAAAAGTGTCTCTCAAATACAGGTAAACAAGATTTTTTTCGTGGTTAATGAATAAGGACAGCCTTTTCGACAATAGCAGTAGACCAGTTTATTTGCTATGTATTACACCATCACTCTTTATATTACCCGTATTTTACTGAAATATAGTGGTGTCTTACTCAACGTGCTGCAATAGGCAATATGGGGCCATAACATTTAAAATAATTTATTAACGGTATAATTAAGTAGCCTCTGTTGTCTTACTTTTCAGTCTAGGTAATTACGAATCAATTTAGGACAAAAATTTGCAACAGAATAATTTCTTATAAATACATCAAACATTTCACATTCACTAGTACTACATTATCCAAATCAAGTCTATTTCTTGCCTTACCCGTGTGACGCGCACTGCTGGCGCTGGTGGATTGTAATGTAGATTCCGCTTGGAATATTCTGAAGATAATAATGTAGCAAGAAAGTGTAGTAGCCTCCGCAGCTTCCATACACCTTGCTTAGTATGTTTAAGGTTCAAAATCCAAAAGGGTAAAGAACTAATGGTAATAAATCCAGTTTTATAAATATTTATTCCGGTTTTAACATTGACCTATCAACAATTGGACATCGGGTCTAATACAAAAACCATGAAAAAATGTCTGAAGTTAACCTATACAAACATAGTGACATGTAACGAAATATAAAAAAAAACTAAAACATAATTTAAATTGTAACGTCATTTCAGTTCTGCCTAATTTAGCTTGCAACAATTTTAAGGGTCGTATTCTAGAACTCTACTCAATGCTCAAGTCAGGATCTGAGTATGGTTTAAAGCACTCGAAGGGCCATAACATTTAAAAGAATAATAATAATAAAGCACTCGAAATCATACTCAAGTCCCTGCCATTAGGGTCGTATTTCCAGTGCTTGTGTTGCCAGTGCAATCCTGACTTGAGCATTGAATAGAGTTCTAGAATTTGACCCAAAGAGCCCTAAAACACCATATTCAGCTTCTGCTGGAAACTTAACAAGAAGCACCATGTTTAGCTTCAACTGAAAATTACTTGAACACAAAAGTAATGTAGCAACCTTTATTGTATATAATTTTTATATTTAATATCATGTCGAATTTTGTACAAATTCACTTCAAGAAATAATAAAGAGTTGGGCAGATACATACATACAAATATTACAAATGTGAAAATAAGTGTGTACTCTAAGAAATGTACCGATATTCCAAAGAACTCAAATATCTGTAATTCCGCTAAAACCGTTTCGCTTTCAAGTAATTTTGATGCTTCTCACAAAGCCAAAGTTAGCTTTTGTTTTGTAATATTCCTAAAAAAATACATTTGACATTATGAAAATTTGAGCTAACATTATTACGGTCAAATGTATTTTCTGACTTCTAATAGGTAATCCCAAGCTGTAAAACAAGTACAACAATATTTTGTTATTGCTAACGTTTAATAAAAAGTCATTTTAAAAATAAGATTAAAATCAACACAACTCTATAGTTTTGTTCGAAACATTTCAATCGCTTATGGTTCGAACAATTGAAAATGACCAAAAAGTTTATATGAGCTTCTTGAAATTGATGGAATGGGTCTTTTTCCATCTTTTTTGCATGCAATGTGTAGAAAAAGGACAGTTAGCTATTTGATTATTTTGTTTGCTTTTGTAATTTATGTTTACGATTAATTTATATATAAATTAAATATTATACAACTGTACATGATAACACTTTTAAATGATAACTATGATAACACAATATATTTGTTTAGTGAAAATATGATACAAAATCCTGTTTTTACACTTTACTGCAGTATTTTTCACAAGTTAAGGACTATCCACACACATCAGGGCCGTGCCCGAGACGTGGACGGGGCGTGCTAGTTTGTACAAACTGCGGGCCCGTCTCGGCGTCGGTCCGGACATGGACATGTGTGAACGAGTTCATACAAAATATACGCAACGATATTTTTTTAAGCCCCTGACGGAGAACGGCCCGTCCACGGCCCGGACACGTCCCGGATGTGTGTGGATAGACCTTTATTGTTATATAGTACTGCATGATTGACAACCGCGCTGTCAGTCGAACAAATGAAGACTGTTGCGCTATTGACGCTCTGTATGCGATTTTAACGCCCTATAGGTGCGGACACTTTTTAGTGCGAACACGAAGTCCATTTGTTAGTAGGTCAATGGGTTTTAACTATATTTATGATCTTTAAAATGTTTATCGCATTAGAGATTTTTGGTAACTGGTAAACGGCTCAAAAAAATAAGAGAAAATGTGTTCGCTGCCGCGAGCAGGGAGTGACGGTGGGACGAAACAAAATCAGAAAGCCAGGCAAAAGAGCCATGGAATAATTCAAAATTTAAACTTAAATATGAGTGGCCAGAAACTGCTGAAACACGGTAAAAAGGTGGGATGACGATGTAAGGAGGTCACACCGCTACAACCGTAATGTTATTTGTATGTATAATAATATATAACATTTTATTTTACTATTTTCAGTTGACATTGATAAATACAGCTTAAAACATGAAGAATATGGTCGGCCATTATATTTTGACGCACAAGCGACTACTCCAGTGGTAAGAATCCATTGCTTTGATTTGAAATAACAGTAAACAAGATAAATGTTTAAAAACATAAACATTTATCTTATGTTTTTTTTTATCTTGTTTACTGAGTATACCCTATCATTTAATTCCAAATTTTTTATCATTTATTGTTAATTTTTCTGAAGTACAATTGATATTTTTTTATTTTGGATTGTAAAAGCAATGTTTTATTTAATTTTCCAAAAAAAAACCTGTTGTCTTATCATATCTTCTGTTACCAAACCACAAATGTAAAATTTATAATGTCACCAAATATCTTATAGTAATAATTTTTTGACATATAATTATTTCCAGGACCCAAGAGTGCTTGATGCTATGCTGCCATATCTAGTCAGTTACCATGGTAACCCACACTCTCGAACTCATGCCTATGGTTGGGAGAGTGAAGCAGCAGTGGAGAAGGCTAGGGAACAAGTTGCCAGCATCATTAATGCTGACCCAAAGGAAATTATATTTACATCTGGGGCCACAGAGTCAAACAACATTTCTATCAAAGGAGTTGCACGGTTCTATGCACCTAGAAAAAAACATGTAGTGACTACACAAATTGTAAGATGGTATTTTTAAGTTTAAGGCTCAATTTATATTGAATCGTTCACTCATTCCACGGAAGATTTTGGCTCATTTCTAGTTTGCACATTACACGATTGTTCATAAAGTCCATTATGCGATGTTACAAAAATTCACTTCCTCTCCATTCCGCCGCAATATAAATTGAGCCTTAAACTTAAAAAAAGGAAATAATATAATGTTGTTATAATGGATTGAATATCAACTTTTTCATAAACAATGAGTTTTGTTTAGTCCTGTTTTGAAGGTATCAGATTATGTGTGAAATAATCATTCTAAGTACCTGTTCTCAAACTAGAGTATTACCTGTATATGAGTACAGAAGTTACAAAATTATTCCAGAACGGTACCCAGACATGAACCAAAGTAGATAAGTTTATTTCTTAAATTGGTCCTAATGGGAATTGGACCTGAGAATCTCCCGACCTACATCACCGAAGGTGTCAATATTTAGACCTAGTTAACTCTTATCTTTTTTTAACACTTAGGAGCACAAATGTGTATTAGACTCGTGCCGAGCTTTGGAAGGAGAAGGCTTCAAAATAACATACTTACCTGTTGGATCTAATGGATTAATCAGTTTGACGGAGTTGGAAAAGGTTTTGACACCTGAGACTAGTTTGGTTTCTATTATGACTGTCAATAATGAAATAGGTACAGTATTTCTTGTTCAATTCCGAATTATTTTACCTCATTTACATTATGCAAATAGAAAAATACCATATCGACTGTGAACTGGCATTCAGTACTATCTCAATTTTGACAACTTACAGGTGAAGAAAAAAATTGTTTGCGTAATTTTTATAGCATCTGGTTTATTAAATAAAAACGTAATTTTTAAATTTTTTATTACACATGCATGTATTATAAAGCTATATAAAGGATTTTTTCTTCAGCCTGTAAAGTTATCGAAATTGAGATAGTACCGGTTACCAGTTCATGGTCGATATACAATTTCCAATCAGGGAGGACTGGATTCAGAACAGTCGTCTTACATAGTATACTGCTCGGTCGAAGATGAAACCCAACATGGAATGTGATATACACTACCATAAATATGTAAACATTGCAGGCGTTAAGCAGCCTATCGCAGAAATTGGCGCGTTATGTAAAAGCAGAAAGATATTTTTCCACACTGATGCAGCACAAGCTGTAGGGAAGATACCATTAGATGTTAATGGTATGAACATCGACTTGATGTCAATTTCTGGTCACAAAATATATGGACCTAAAGGTATTGGCGCGTTATATATTAGAAGGAGGCCGCGAGTACGTGTGGAACCAATTCAGAGTGGTGGCGGCCAAGAGAGAGGCATGAGAAGTGGTACAGTGCCTACACCACTTGTTGTAGGATTGGGTAAGAAACTCATTACAATGCTACATATTATGCTATGCTACTTTTTTTTTAGTTATTATAAACAAAGAATTTTTAAAATTTGATTCATCTGTGCTTTTAAATGGGAAGATCTGTTTCACGTAATTTCCAGGTGCCGCTTGCGAGATAGCTGAACGTGAAATGGCCTATGACCATGCATGGATAGAGAAATTGTCACAAAGATTTTTAAACAAGATCTACTCAAGACTCAAACATGTCATAAGGAATGGTGACCCTGAACAAACATACCTTGGATGCATCAACTTATCATTTGCTTATGTTGAAGGTACACTATTAATTTTAGAATGTATCTTCTGTTTTAGTTAAGATGAATAGTATTATTTAAATTCAGATTACATTGAATGATTTGTCAATGGTAAGTCATTTTATCTGCATTTAGTAATTCCTTCTATCAGTGTTACAAAATTAGGTTTTTTTAGGTGAATCCCTACTGATGTCGCTAAAAGACGTTGCATTGTCGAGTGGTTCAGCTTGCACTTCTGCTTCACTAGAGCCGTCATACGTGCTGAGAGCCATTGGCACTGATGAAGATTTAGCTCACAGTTCAATAAGGTATTGTTTATTTGGTGAATATTTTATGATTAGATCTAAGCGGTTGGAATGTAAATATAAAATACTTATAAAATACTTTTAAGGGGTGAAAATTTGATGCCCAATTTATTATACTAATCAAATGTGACACTATTGTAGTTAGCCCCTGCACTACATGCATTTGCAGTGCAATAATGTAAATGGGCTTTTAGCAACACAAATTAAAAGAGTATTCTAGCGTTATTCTCCAATTCTACTAAAACTGATATTCTGAAAAGACACCCGTGCCCAGCAGTAGGACGTATAAATGGGTTGATGGTGATGGTGGTGATTTGAGAGTTAAAAGATAAACTATGTAACACTTTTTGTTTTAGATTTGGCTTGGGTAGATTTACAACAATTGAGGAAGTGGATTACACAGCTGAAAAAACAATTCGTCATGTTGAACGTCTTCGTGAAATGAGCCCTCTATGGGAAATGGTACAAGAAGGTGTAGACATCAAAACTATCCAATGGTCTCAACATTAAAACGGTCACGCCTTTACACTAAAAATGTAAATACATTTTGTTTGTAATATCCTTTTATGCAGGTCATATTCACTGAAGGTCATATAGACGCACATTTTTCGTTCTCGCAAAAAATTCAATTTTGCTGAATTGACTACAGTAGACGTTCGATTGGTCAAAAAAATTTTAATTGATAAATGGATATGTAAATTAAAGAACCATTTTAAAGTACAGGTTTGATAAACAAAATATTTAAATTATTAATTTTATGGTCACGACACATTTTTTACATTAGTTGCTGGCATTGAAATCAACCAGGAAGGATAAAAAATGTTATTTTGCTAGAATCAATAAGTTAACTTCTAGTACATGTAAATACATATTGTACCGACCCCACCTAGCATGGGATAAGGATAGGAAGAAGAAGAAGACATGTAAATATAACGTAATTACTTCAGTAAAAAAAAAGTAATTCAAACATATTAACTAGAGCTTTGCTCAATAATTATTATTTAATGTGCTCATGGCGAATCCGGAGCCTAAATTGTTGGTGGGCTTGTGAAAGTGAATTGTGCCCTTTTACATAAACAATTTGTGTTTGAACAAAAATACTTGTCTTGAAGATCTGGAATTGAATAATTGTTTAAATTAGTTAAACTAGGTTTAGCAGATTTTATCAAAAACAAGATTTACATTTGTTTTGCTTATTATAATATAGATCCAATTATGTTGTACAGTTAGATGAAATTTTGACTGCGGCGGCTCTCCCATGTAAAGTACAATATATTTTTAGATCTGCTTAAGCACCCTATTTGAGCATATGACATTATTAAAGTGAAACATTAAATTTGTTATGTCAATGTGATTGTAACAGTAAGAAATATTTTTAGAATTAAAAATAATTAAAATTTAAAACTCATGGTTTTATTCCAATTGATGTAAAAAGAAAATGTTAATAACAACACAATGATTAACTAAATCATACAGTAAAATTGCCATCAAATTATAAAAAACTAGATAATACATATATGCATAAGTTACTTCTTGTGAAATCTAACATTACATATGGTTATTATATACATCTGGCCATCATATTAAAGCTTTAAAACAACTTTCACTCTTAACTACATTCGAGGATTACGCTTACATAAATGTTAACAATTAATTAAAAAATAATAATCATAAAAGTAATGCAGCACAATATCAAATATTAAATCTGAATTTCACTATTCCTATTGGATTCAAAGTTCAGAGAAAACAGTACATTCCATTCATATTTTGTGCTATTTTTTGTGATAAAAAGGGGAAGTTGAATTTTATTTAGAAATTGGATTTTGTGTCAATTTTTCATCAGAAAGCAATAACCTTAGCAATGCAATGCACTCATTGCTCGTCCCATAGTATTAGTGATTTAAATGCATATCAAAAGCATATTGTTAGATAAACAGTTTAGAAGGCAGACATCAACAACTACATGGAGGTTCCTCAGGCAGATCTGGACTTGTGATTTTGAAGCTGTCATGATTCAAAGTCTGAAGTTCAATTCGAGATCTGTTGGACTCAACCAGCTGTAAGGCAATGTCTGAAAACATTTCTTCAACGCCCTTGCCTGTCTTGCATGATGTTTTATATGTAGTGCTGATAAGATTATGGCATTGTTCACTGGAAGCAAATAAAAATATCTTTTATATCATATTATTGTACTAACTTAAAAAAAATTACATCTGTTCTTGTAGACTAATTACCAAAATGTGTCTATGTCCGCATCAGTAACCTGTGGTGATGTCCCTTCTAAATCAGACTTATTTCCACATAAAAATATTTTGGCATTCTCTGCATATGTCACAATGTCCAGCAAATGCTGACTCAGAACATGGAAAGACGAGGCGTTGTCCAAGGAAAACACTAAAATAGCTGCCTCAGCAAATTTGTAGTAACTTGAGGTGACAGAAGCAATCCTTTCCATGCCCCCAGTGTCCCAAAGCTGCAACTGAAATAACATACAGACTTATGTAGCGGTTTTATGCTAATTAATACATCCAATAAATAAAGCAACCAACCTTGACGTCTTTGTCGCCAACTTGATACAATTTCTCAAAGTGATCCAAGCCTAACGTAGACCTTCTATCAGAATTTGGGACAAACGTATTATTGATGAATCGGCGGAACAAGGAACTCTTTCCTACACCATATTCACCGCATAAAATTACTTTTAGAACTGGAGTTTTAACAACAGCCATTGTTGTAATTAAATTCAGCGATCCGCGGCCTGCGCTACTTACTTCATTGGTGCCGCTAAATATTTATCAACAAAAAATCTACAGCCTTTAGTCAAATCATTACCTATATTATTCAAAATAAAAAAATGAAAAGAATTCGCAACACAGGTCACAGACGAAATAACGGATGAATGATGGTACGAAATGAAGAAGGGTGAAACGTCAAATTTGTAAATTTTTATTCCTTGCTTAGAAAAAGCGTAAATATCGGATTTTCGCTCGCTTTCATTTCATCGGTTTTACAGAACTTTGCACGACTCTATCTTTCTTTAACATGTTTCTTGAAAAAAAAAATGGCGGGTTTTTGAAATTACGAGGACAGTTTTATGAAGATTATTTCACATTTTTTTCAATTGTCCTAATATTGCTGTTCCACTTTATAACTTACTTTCTCCAAAATTCCCCCGCCCCGTTAACATAAACAACCTCTTAACTTTAGTGTTCTCCCCCCATATTGTTACTCTATGTAAATTTATCCACTTAAATAACATATATTTATAAATATTGTTTTGCTGTTTTGTTTTACATTCTCAACTGAGTACTCCCGTAGTCCAACTTACCAACACCGGTTAATGTCCTATTAGAGCTTAGCGAAAATTTTTTTTTTTGTTTCGTTTTTTTTTCTTTCAACTGTGACATTGGCAAAATCATCAGTTCTCATATTGATGGAGCCATAAAAATAAAAAGTGAAGTGAAGATTATTTTTATTTTAAGTATATTATGAAGAAAAAAATAGTGATGAAGAAAGTTACAACTATATTTTAAACCAAATTACAAAAGACCGAATCCAAAAGTTATTGTTCAAAGTGATGGAAGATAATTTTATTTAAATGAAAGTAAAACATAAATAATAACACCCGCCGCTTAAAAGACTATTTAATAAACGCAAATAAGTGAACTAAGTTAAATAACTCTAACTCTTAAATAAGAGAAAATGAAAACAATGTATTATAATTTAGAAATACAATGGCAAATTAATAATGAGGATCGCGATAATTAAACGAAGACATGGCTCAAAGCACTCCAAGCCAAAACTATTAATTAAAAAAAGTATTTGTTTCTTCCAAGCCCAAATAAATACTAATAAAAAAAATGTACCATTTCCAAAAAAAAGGTTCAAAAAAAAAAACAAAGTGGATAACACTTTGAGAAGGGTGGAAAAATTGGTTTCCATAGCCTAAGGGATAACATGATCAAAATGAACACTGGCAGAATTGTTCTCAGTTGTTCAGAAGCCAAAACAACAAAAAAAAAATAGTTCATACACTATCAATATTGGTGAATAAAACAACAAAGTTGGCGAAATCATCGATTATTTCGATGGAGCCATCGCATTTAAAAGAAGTGGCTGAAACTTGATTGAACGCTATTTATTCGCGAAAAGCCAAGAACGAAGAAAAAAGTATTGATTAATGTCGAAGAGGTTATTCAAAAAATAAATACATTGCTGCTGCCTTAACGTTGGCGTCTTTGACCAATATTATCTGCCTGCACTCTTCGAAGCTCGTTGATCAACATTATCTTAACTGACCGCATTCTTCGAAACTAACAAGCCCAAGCCTAAGACCGCCATTAAGGAAATAGAAGTATTGATCATTCTGACGGAATCCTGAGTGGGCGCCGCCAATAATAAAAAAGAAGAAGCTTTGCTTATTTGAGGCTGAGGCATTTTGCAATTTTGTCTAAAAACCCAAGAAAGTACATAAAATACTACATAAATCAAATCTAAAGAAACAACGACGAATAATGGTTACATGGTATTTAATGTCAAAATTATCTAAAAAAAATAAAACGTTGGATTTTCTTAATCATTACACTAATTTATTGAAGACCGATCCAGTTGTATGTCATAAAACAAAAAGTTTGTGCCGCGTTTGTTTGCAAGAAGGTAAAATAACAATATTCGGTAATGAACATGTAGATATACTTGAAACTTTATATACATTTGGAGATATTCAAATAAGTAAAGATGATGACCATCCGGAACATTTGTGCGAGGTTTGTTATAATTTCGTGAAACTTGCCATTCAATTTAGAAAAACTGCTAAACGGTCCGATGAATTACTTATGAAGTCATTAAAAGAAGAAAAGGAAACAGTGGATAATTTTGTTCAGTCTCAAGATCATGACTACGATGGCGGAATTGACGACGACCCATTAGACTGGCAAGCAGAGTTTGGCAATATAAGAGAAGAGAAAAAAGAAAAAGTAAAATATTCCCAAAAAGTCACATGCAATATTTGTAAAAAAATTATCAACCGCTCATATTTAAAGGAACACATAACGCTACATGATCCAAACCATCAAAAGTATGTTTGTGAAGTGTGCGGAAAATCATTTAGACTTCGATGTGCTTACTACAATCACAGTTTAAGGCACAGAAAAGATTTTCCATTCAAATGTCAATTCTGTTCATATCGTGGAAGATACTCAGAATTGCTGAAAAATCATATGCGTACACATACAGGAGATTATAGATACATGTGTACAGAATGTCCAGCCAGATTTCTCTTCAAAAGTAATTTAAATAGTCATATGCTTAAGCATAAGGAACCACAATTCAAATGTGATGCTTGTAAACGAGCATTTCATACCAAATTAAAATTGCAACGTCACTTTGAAGCAGACCATTTAGGAATAAGAAATCACATATGTTCATTATGTGGGAAGGCATTCGGTTACAGAAATGCTATGTTAAAGCATCAGCGTCATGTTCACAAAAGGGAGAAATCCATGTTTGGAAGAATGCCTTCCTATTTGGAAGCTGAAAATAGGAATCAACAGACTTTGTAAATTAACACCTAAAATAAACAAAATACCATCTAAATATTGTTTATTAAGTTTTTAATTTAATTTAGTGTAGTATGTATGTACACCACAACATAAATACAATTATTATATAGGTCTACATATTCAAATAAAACACAATATTTCCCATAAGTAGAATATATTATCATATGATCACCATGACGAAGTTTATACTAATGTAGATAAAAACATTTTTTTCCCCTTTGTCTTTGGTTTTCTAGTAACAAAATGAAACAAATTGAATTGCAAGGCAGTCTTTGCCTGTTGGTGGACAAGTGTTAATCAAAATAACGTATTTTATAAAACTTTTAAAAGTAATATTCAGCCTTTTTTTCATGTAAAGATTTTGCATGAATTTGTCCAAGTGCCACTATTTTGTTCTTCGTCATTTGCTGTCACCATTTCATTTAGATACCCATTTTTAACCGACTTCAAAAAAAGGAGGAGGTTCTTACTTCGACTGTATTTTTTTGTATGTATGTATGTTACGCGCTATTTGTGAACCGATTTTGTTCTTTTCTTGTTGGAAACAGGGTACCTCATTATTGGCCCCATTTAGGAAGAAAATATTCCACGTCTAAGGGTGGCAAACTAGTGGATGAATCCAGTTTCGCGCACTTTCTGGTAACCGCAATCAATAAAACTTGGCAAATAGATGTAATTTCACGAACATTTGTGTTCAGTTTTTTAGTACTCTGTACTGAGATTGTTCTTCACCACTTCTATTATAATGTCCTAATTTTTCGTTTGGATAATTTTTAACCGACTTCATTTTTAACGTCTTGATTGATCAACATATTGTTCGATAACATTCTCGCGGGTGTATGAACATTTCTATACATTATTTATAAAGATTATTGTAAAAATTCATAAGCCTGTTTAGAAATACAAGACAATGTTCTAGATCAACGAGGTCTTTGGCCCAGTAAAAAATACATACTGTGGTTTAATGAAACCTTTTAAAGTTATCAGTAGTTTCATGTTTACTAACAATGTACTAAGTTAAATACAGTTCTAACTACAACTATATTTTACTTAGTAAATTGTTAGTAAACCTATCTACAGTTCTACAAAGTATGCATATCAATAAATTTTAAACAGTTTCGTATTAACCGGTATTCAGACCAACCCTATTTCCATCCATTATCTGTCAGACTGAATCTGTTATTTTCTGAAACGCTTGTCTAGGGAAGGGAATTGAAAAAAAATCGTTTATCGAGCGAAGTATATCGATATATTTCCCAAAGCCAATGACTAATAATAAAAAATATTTTCTATATATCTATAAGTATATCCATAAAGTAAAATTCCGAAAATTAAAAACATGTGTTATAGAAAATTTTACGGTTGTCTGCTGCAGGGCTTGGAGGGAAAAGAGTTAACTACCATGTTAAGTGGCTTAGGAGGTTCCGTTACGACATCCAAAAATTGGTAAAAATGTTTAGATTGTATTTATATACCTGTTAATATTATTCTACAAAGAAACGCTCAACAGTCTATGCCCATTGGTATTATTTATACATATTCAGCACTGAAACTGATTCTGGAAAAAAAAATCTATTTTTGTTATATCGAGATTAAAAATATTCAATACCGAATCGATTAAAAATATATTAAATCCAATTATTTTCATGAAAAAATATCGACATTTATGTCGACTTTTATAAGCCTAGTATGTAAGTACATACTGTCATTCTTTTCAACACTCGTCTGAGCTTGAGCTTGTTGTTTCTATTTTTGCGACCAATAATCGTATAATTTCAATGAAAATCTCTAAGTAATGTGGAAGTAAGATTAAAAGAGTCACAATGGAGTTACAGACGTCACATTTGGCCGCCGCGCTTATGTCTGGCAGTAATACATTCGCTAATACCAGCAGCGTCTCAAAAGAAACGCCTGCCAGCAAAACTGTAGAGGACAACAAAGTTGAAAAACCCATAGAACGTTCTAAGGAATCATCGGAAGGTGATAAGGAAGATATTGGAAGCGGCGAAGAGTTTAGTGATGAGGTATAGAGTTGGTTAAATATTCAAGATTATTGGTTTATAGAATAGAAATATTTATCATTGTTTACGAACTTTACTTCAGGGACTTACGCGCTTTGGGATATTTTCTTTATGAAATTTTATTTTGTAATCATGGTATAAACACTGGATATTGTTTTTTCGACAAATTGAAAACGTTAGCTTTTGATGAACATATTGTTTAAAAATTAATTGATATGGATTATTTTGGTTGTTATAGGAATCTGAAACTCAAGCAGGTAGCAAATCGGCGCCAGGCCGAGGGGTTACTTTGCAAATGCTGTTAGAAGACAAAATGCTGGATCCTGGTACTGCTGCTATGACCATTGAATACTTGGTAAAGACTACGTCATTTAATCTTATTTGCTACACTACAAACAATGATAGGATGACAGTAATATTAATTATAGTATTAGCAACTCCGCAACATTTGAGGATTCTGTTTACAACTATTATAAACTGATGGCAGATAAGAAGCAAAAAAAAATATTACACAAACCTCCAACGCAGAAAAATGTGATAGTCCACCCTATTTATTAATTAAAAATATTTAATGTATGTCACATTTTCCTAAAAAATGAGTTTTGTAGCAGTAAAGCTCCTTGTGAAAGAGTTCGTCCGTGGAGGAAACCTATTTCCATCGAGTATATAACTAGAAATAGAGACAAAATAAGGGCCATATATTCCTGGTAACACATTAGCGATACAGCTCTTATAAATATCAACTCTCGTTTGCACTGAAATATAGACAGGTCAACTACTGTGTGTACCTGTGTGTACGTCTCCATATATTCCAAAAAATATTCTGTATTTATTGTAATAAAGATAATATCTCTAACAATGCCGTGCTGTTTTATTCGGTGGTGTGGGAAAAACCAGCAAAACATCTAATTACAAAACAAACGGAATCACATTTCATCAGTAATTAAATACTAAATATACAATTTGCAATTTTCGTCCATTATAGCAAAGCTCAAGTTAACTGATCGTAAAATTGACGACACCCATTGACGACACCCGTCAACTTAGTAGAACTCGGGCTAGCCAACCAGTGCAGTTTGGTACTTGGTACTTGGTGTAACGGGCTGGTGTCCGCAACTCGACGTCAAGGCGCCTATTTTGCGTGTGGTGGGTGCAGGGTCCTACTCGTGCCACCCAAGCTCCTCCAGGAATCTCAGCAGCCTCCTCTTTGCTGAAGACTTTGGGGAGCGACCTTGGCACTCCAAGGTACTTTGCCCTGTAGTTGGCCACGCCGGAGCACTGTAGTAGAATGTGCGCAGCCGTTTCCTCCCCCTCCATACACGCTCTGCATAGAGGGCTGTCTGTGATACCTAAGGTGTTTATTGTATGGACTATGACCTGTTAGGGCGGCAGTTAGAGTGCGAAGCTCTTGCCTGTTGAGTTTAATTAATATTCATGATGGACTGGCATTGAATGTTGGGAGTGCTTCCCTCGCCTGTCTACAAACCGTAAGCGTGTTCCATGTATTATTATGTGAAGTTTTTGTACCTTTGTGTATAGTTGTTCTGGACCATTGGTAGGGGAGGGACACTGTCCGGGCGGGGTCGTGGTGAATGTTCACTGATCCCACGGCGCCGACTCAACCGGCGAGAGGGAAACCCGGGGAGGTTTTAGTGGGGTAGGCCTTCCAGTGTGGAGGGAGAGTCCCCACATAACCCCTGAGTCTCCCTGGGCTCAGGGGTATCCATAAAGATTTCCCCCCGTCAAAAAGAAAAAAGGGGGAGGGACACTATGGGTTCTGGTCCTACTGCGTCCGTCTCCGACCCTTTTCTGGCTAGTTCATCTGCTGCGTCATTGCCACGTGAGCCGCTGTGTCCTTTAATCCACAGTAGAGTTAAGTGGTTTTGTATACATACCTCCATGAGTGCTTGATGGCATTCATAAATGAGCCCTGAGTTTATGTCATAGCTGTTCAGTGCTTGAAGTACTGACATACTGTCAGAGAGTATTCAAATGGAGTGGTTCTTTACTGTTCTCGCTATGGTTGCTTCTGCCGCCAACTTGATGCCCATGCATTCAGCCTAGAATACTGTGTTGTGGTCACCAAGCGGTGTTGATATTCTGATATTGAGGTCTTCTGAGAATACCCCTGAGAGTACCTGTTCCTGAATTTGTTTTAGATCCATCAGTGAAGACGCGGACCTCACTGGAGTTCAGTCTTTCATTTGGATCTTCAAACAATTGTATCTTGTATTTTTTGTGTCAAAGATGTATTGTTTTGGGATCCTATCCACAGCTGCCTCCAGTAGCGGTTCCTCATTGACTGTCTTATAAAGGATTTCTGTATGTGGGGTCCTCATGTGCTTCCGAAGGCCGGTTCTGTTTAGACGCACTGCTGTTGATGCCGCTTCCTGTCTGATGAACATTGGGAGGGGTCGCAAGTCCAGCATCGCTTCGAGGGCCGCAGCCGGTGGTTGCCATGCAAGCGAGTCTTTGGAATTTTTCCAGCTTGTCGGTTGCGGTCGTCAGTTTGGTTCGTGGCCACCATACTATCGCGCCGTAACTGATCATGGGTCTTATCACCGCTGTGTAGAGCCATAGTGTTATTTTGGGTGAGAGTCCCCATTGTTTACCTACCTACATTGTTACCGGAGTGCAGTTCTCACAGTAATGATATGGCAGAATAGTTTTCAAACAAATTAAATGACATTCCCTCTCTATTTCTGGTTATACATATACTCGATGCCTATTTCTGATGCCAAGCAGTAATGTCAGCATCACTGTGTTCCGTTTTTGAAGGTTAAGGGTGCTGGTGAAATTACAGGCACATGGGACTTGTCAACTTATGTCTCAGGGTGACGGGCGCAGTGGCAGTACCCTTAAGGTCTTTGCGATTAAAAGCTCTGAGTGGCACAACAACTGCTATGGATAGGCGTGTTGCTTGCCACCAGGTGCACGACTGGTTCATCCCGTCACTTGGTATAAAAAAAATGCAACCGTCTGCATTGGAGGTCTCAAAATTAATAGATAACTTACGAATTTAAATTGGACCAATTGGAGAAGCTACTCCAAAAATGGACAGGTTATGTACCTTCTAAAATAGTTTTACAACATATTAGGTAGTTACAATATATCGGTGATCTGCGTGGAAGTGAAACGCTTTTCACTCTTATTGCATAGACATAAAGATTTTTTGTCACTGGTTCAAGGCATTTTCCCATTAATAAGTATGGTGACTAACCACGGAGTAAAAGTATGCTGTTTTCTTTGTGAGAAAAACATTATTACTGGTCTAACACAATTTGTTTTATTGAAACAAATGTATAAAATATATGTAATAGAAAAAAATGAAAAGGCCTAGCCATAAATACTCCCAAAGACAAGATTCGAACCACCAGCCAGGCGTTTTCTGTATTAGTTGTCTAAATTTAAAAACATGTTTCATTAATCAATGGCTTGTTGAAAATTTGTATTTGTAAAACCGTAAAAAACTTAGCGATAATTTTGTATTTAAACCCTTTAAAAATAAAAATGCATGATGGTTCAAATTATATGTCTGAGAGTATATTTATTATTTCAAAAATGTGCAAATAAAAATAAAACTGAAATCACTTACAATAGCTTGAGTTGCAATCAAGGTACAATAACTATTTAATTTACTATTCCAGGGCCAAAAGTTTGTAGGTGACTTACAACCAGATGGGAAAATCAAGTCCCACGAGACAGAAACAATTTTCTGTTCCCCATCTGCCTGGGCAATACATTGCAAGAGGATCATTAACCCAGACAAAAGGTCAGGGTGTGGATGGGCCTCTGTCAAGTATAAAGGAAAAAAGCTTGACACTATTAAAGCTACTTATTTGAGAAAGAAACAATTACAGAGAGAGAACATGCACACAGATGGTATGCAATTTCTTATTAATTTATTTTTAAATAATTATAAAGCATTTCGTAGAATTTATATGTATAGATACACAAGTAGTTTGGTATTTTGTTGTTGTTAAAGACAGTCTTTTATAGGCTGATTGTTGACTTTAAAATGGTGGCTCCCAGGATAACCATAATATGTTGCGCAATATAATAATTCACAAATTGAACTCGTCTATAATTAATGCTCTGTATTTACAAAAAAAAAAAATAGCCCTTCTAGGCAAGCTTATAGTGGTCATGAGTAAGAACTTAAAAATTAAAATCAATGTGGTAGTGTTTTATGTCACAATTTTGTGTTCAATATCACAGGAAATTAGTACAGTTGATACCCTATGGTATCTGACCCTCTAGCCGACCTTTTCGGGTCTGATGCTCGTATTCTAGAACTACTCAATGCTCAAGTCAGGATTTGAGCAGACTTGAGTATGATTTCAAGCAATGGAAATACTACCCTAATGGCAAGGACTTGAGTATGATTTTCAGTGCTCACTGTAATACTCAAGTCCTGACTTGAGTATTGAGTAGAGTTCTGGAATACGACCCTGAGAGCCATTTTACGCATTCAGCAGAAAATATTAAAGAAATTCCAGCTTATATGTTAATGATTAAATTAGCTTAAAAAGTTTCTTAGAACGTCTTACTAATGATGCCATCAAGTAGTCATAGCAAAGTGAATTTTACAGTTCACAAGTTAAATAAAGCTAAATGAACCAAATGGTCAGTTAGGGGGTCAGGTATCTAAGGGTATCGACTATATATTTTCAAAATTAATTTAAAACTTTCTGAGCCAATAGTAAGTGTGCAAAATTGGCTAGCCAAACATTTTGCAGAATGTGGACCACTTTAAAGCTGCATGTTAACCTTTCCCTTTGCTATTGACTTTATGCCTTAGTCCAAACATTCCTTGGTCAATGTCATATCACCAGCATTGTTGAGTATTAAAATATTGCTAAAGGCGCTAAGGGCGCCATCAAATTAGCTGCTTGTAGAAGCACTGCAGTGGCGCGGTAGAAGCGCTGCAGTGGCGCGGCAGCTGCGCCACTACTAATTATCATACAATATCCAGTCTGTAAAAGTGGCGCGACGATGCCGTACTTGAAATGAGAGTAAGCTTGATGCTACCATTGGGATACGCCAAACGCCAATAGGCAACGCAAGCGTAGGCAAGTTCGCTTGCATCTGCAAAAACATGAAGCTCTCTATAGGACAGCTCTTGGAACCAGTCTGACCACCTTCATGCCTCCGTCTCGGAAAGTTCAGCATCCCAATTGAGGTTTAATCTCCATGTTTATTGGAATAAAATTCTACCCTTAACGACTATAGGCCCTAATAGTCCTAAGGGGTCATACACACGCATGAGATGTGAAAGTACTTTACGTTTCGTAAGAGGACTAAGTATAGCTTCATCCAAACCCGTGCGCAAATCTAAGTTATCCGTGGTAGGATTCCAAGCTGTGCCTAGTGCTTGAATATTATTAAATGTGTTGCTGAGATCCACTTCCAACGGCTGAGCGGCTCGTAAATCTACTGGAACTGGATTCAGGGCTTCGGACTCATTGGAAATCAATCCTCGCATCTCAAAACAGGCCAAACTGTGAACGGTAATAATGTCTGCTGCTACTTGGGCTGCTTCGGCTACACTATCTAACGAGTCTATATAGTCATCCATATAATTATTGTACAAGATGGCGTCCACGGCTTTAAAATGAGAAAGCATGTGCTCTTGCGTTTTTATTTTTTATATATTGGGCTATAAAGGGACTACAGTACGCACCAAAGATGCTGCCCCTATTTGTGCGGCCAAAACCGCATCGAATAATGTGCTACCATAATCAAGGAGCGCATAGAAAAAAGGGAAATAGTTCCAGTTTTTTTACATCGCCTCCCGTAGCGCAGGCAAGCGCCTTCGCTGCTGCGGCGGTGTCAGCTACTGCTTGTAAGAGAGAGGTCTGTTACTCTAGATCCGCAGGAACGAGCGGCGGCACCGCGCCGACCGCCTCGGACTCTGATAACATTGCGAGATTGTTGATCGTGATAGATAGTAAAGGATGCAGTTGCGCGTGTAGCTGTCGTCGGCTGTAGATTCGGGCAGTTAGGAGATGGAACATGAAAGCGTTCTTTACCCGTTACTGCGAAAATGTCTTTATTAACAATAGCAAATTGTGTTTCACTACAATGACGTACTACCCATTTCTTTGTTCTATCAATGCTCACCTTATTAGAGCTCGCACGACTCCGCGCGCGGTTCCCGCCGTCAACGTCGATAGTGGCACGCTTCCCCGTGCGGCTACCAGCGTCAGCGTCGATAGCAGCCAGCACGGCGAGCAGTTCGCTCTGTTCGATACGCTGCTGTGTTTCTGCGAGTTGTAACTCACGCTCGTGCTCCTTGGCAGCGAGTTGTAATTCACGTTCGCGCTCCTGGGCAGCGAGCTGTCGCTCACACTCGCATTCCCGTGTTGCAAGCTCTTGTGCATGTTCTAACTGACGGCGTAAGGCTAAAAGAGAGGCACTAGCCTTACGCCGCGGCGTTCTGCGCTTTCATGGTGGTCGATGAACGCGTTGACCTGGTTTGAACGATGTGCTCGCTAGGAGCCTTACTGCCCTGCAGACTAGAGCTATGCCGCGGATTATCGACATTAGCTGGCTGATTAGATTATACAATAGGAGCGGTGGATGTAGGGATAGCCGGCATGACTCTACTTTTACTGCGAGTGATCGTGGAAAGTAATAATACTGTTATGTGAATATACAAATGCGAAATGCAAATACAATGTTTGAAATTTAATGTACTTACGGAAAAAAATGAATTGTACTGAAACGTCAAAATGAACAAATATATGTTAGGTGCTCTGGAAAACAAGAGAGCTGGACCAAAATGTAATGGACTATGTGGAATTGTGGAGTGTATGAAATTGAAGTGAAGAAACTAAAGAAATGAGCACAAATATGGATGAAACACAAAAAATAATTCTTGGCACAGTGGCAATCGCAAATCAAAACAACAATACAACATAACAAAAACATAACAGAACAGAAGAAAAATAATTTGTAGCAAAGAGTTCGCGACAAATGGTTTAAATGGCAACACTCAGCTGTAACAAAAGAGTCATAGGGTCGTATTCCAGAACTCTACTCAATGCTCAAGTCAGGACTTTTGAGCAGACTTGAGTATGATTTCAAGCACTGGAAATACGACTCTAATGACAAAGACTTGAGTTTGATTTTCAGTCCTTTAAATCACACTCAAGTCCTGACTTGAGCATTGAGTAGAGTTCTGAAATACGACACATGTTCTATTGGGCAGTGTTTCGCCCTTTTGCGTCTATACCGCAAGGTATTATCTGATAAACTTTTAAATAACATGAAAATTGTAATTGTTTAGTTATTGTATGTCACGACTGGACCACCATGATATACAATTATTTTTGTGAAATTACTCCACTAGTTTGCTATAATTATTAATACAAGTATCAAACACTTAGAGAAAATCGTTAAAAACCAAAACCAAAGATCTGCAACAAGCACAGACAAATTCGTAAGGTCCGTTAATTCGTTCCGTGGTTTAGTTGGCATAGCGTCTGGCTCGGTTTGTTGGAAGACGTTGGTTCAAATCCAGCTGGATCGAAGGAATTTTTCTAAGTGTTCTTTTCTTCATATTAATTATCTCTGTATTAATAATTATAATATGAAAATTGTAATTAAACACGCTGTTGAATTATAATAAAATATTATTTCAGAGGAAACAGAAATGGAAGTAGAAAGTCCACCTGAACCCCCACCACAAAGAGTGGTCATGAAACATAACACTGTGCCAAATAGAATGAATCAGCAGTGAGTTCTTTTCCTTTATGTTAAATCCAAATGTAGTTGAGACATTGTATTTTGTTACACGCATATTTTAAGAAGAAAATATACTTTAATCAATTACGTATCTTCTTCGTTCTCTAGAAAGGCATCTCTGATCATTCCGTTTGCTTAGTAAAGTCCTTTATAAGCATATTTTAGTAGTACTTATGTTTTAGTAGTATTTTCGATTTAAGCATTTTTTGTTTTATATTGTATATGTTAAGCTCAAAGAACGAAAAGGCTCAATTGGCGATAAAAACAACACATTGTGGTCTCGTTACAATGTACATAACTTGTCATTCGTGTTATGGCTTTATAAAAATATCCAAACTGCGTTGTTTGCGTCGTTGTTGCATTAATACAGATGAAAATCAAATTAAGGTCAAACATCATGACAGCCACGACGTGAATTTCGTATAGTAGTTTTTGTGAGTTAGCCACAACACAGTCTGGCCATTTTAATAAGCGCTATAACATGAATAACTTGTTAAAAAGAGACCACAACGCGTCGTGGACGTTTTTTTCACTCAATGAGCATTTTCGTTCTTTAAGCCCAACATATATAACAATATTAATCCATGTTGCAGTAAGTGCTTAATATTTACATTTATAATTTTTGTAGTGATGCTAACATGCTGACAGAAGCCGTGTCATTTTCGTCAGTGGGTAAAGTGCAGCCGTTTTTGGTGTCAGTAAGTTCTAATGCCTGTCTCGTTCTGGATATACATTGTCATTTGAAGAAGGAAGAGGTGTATGGCTATCTCGCTGGAACCTGGGACTTGAACAATCATAGTAAGCATTACTTTAAATTATAACAAGGTATTGTTTTAAATTTCATTGCATTTTACCAGTATCTAATTGAATATTAACTTGCAGTTGTAATATTAAGTTTATTAAATATCGCGATGACTTACTACCATATTTTTTGTGAAATTACTCCGCTAGTTTATTATAATAATTAACACAAAGAAAAATTCTTTCGATCCAGCGTCACTCGAGGCAGCGACCTCGCCATACAGTAGCTGACGGTCTCACAACTAAGCTGCGGAACGAACCAGCTGATCTTAAGAATTTCTCTATGTACTTGTTGCAGATTTTTGTTTTTGGTTTTAACGACTTTTTGCAGTAGCGACATCTGAGAAATCTACGAAAGTTTCACTTCACTTCGACATGACTGGACACGAACCTTTGTCTGTTGACTCACCGTAGCTCTAATCGGATCTAAGAAATTTTCCTTTGTTTTTGTGCGCGAGCACACATACCTTGATATGTTATATACTTTTTATTCCTTTTAAATTTGTATTCTTTTTGACGTTATTAACCGACTTTAAAAAAGGCGGAGGTTCTCAATTTCACTGTATATTTTTTGTGTGTATGTTACGCGAGAACTCCGATATTTGTGAATCGATTTTATGTTTTTTTTTGTGGGAAAGAGGGTACCTCAGTAGTGGTCCCATTTAAATTTGAAGAAAATATTCCACCTCTAAGGGTGGCAAACTAGGGGATAAATCCAGTTTCGCGCACTTCCCGGTAACCGATGTCAATAAAACTTGGCAAATAGATGTAATTCCACGAACTTTTGAGCTCGGTTTTTTAGTACTCTGTACTGATTGTTATTCAGTTGTCATACAAATCGCTACAATATACGTTCACAAAAATCCCAAAGGCTAAATTTCTTCCCTTTCTCCCATACAAAACCACAAAGCAAGTGTCTCCCCAGCAGTTTTTTTAAATCTTTGTATCATTAAATTAATAATAAAAATTAGTAGCTATTTTGTTACACCTTCTTTTGTCTTTCTTTCAGATCTAATGATAACTCATACATTCCCATGTCTGGTAAGTAAAAACGACACCAGACCAAAAGTTTTGGTTGAATTGGACATTCAAATGGAAATTGAGAAGCTTGGCCTGACTCTACTTGGATGGTACCATTCCCATCCAACAAATCCTGCCATGCCAAGCCTTCGGGATTGTGACAATCAACTGGAGTATCAAATTAAGTTGAGAGGTCCTTCAGAAATATCGTACATTCCTTGTATTGGAGTTATTTGTTGTGAGTATTTTGCTTTTTAGTTTAGATTTCCGTTTATAAAATAGTTTTTTTCCGTTTATAAAATAGTTTAAAAAATACGATACGCGTCCGATAACTCGCAGCGGCCCAAGCGCACGCAAAGTATCCATTTTTATCAAACTTATCCTAACTGTACTGTCCTTGGAACGAAAAAACGCACAATTAACATTTTTATCAAAATTTAGTTGTATCTTACTCGGAAAAAGTTGTGTCCTACCTATTTTTTTGTTTCTACAAAGATTTCTATCTATCACCATAACAGTTGGATACACCGTAAGCTCAAAAGGCACAAAATTGGCATCAATAATCAGACTTTTTACCATAAAAGGTCATATTTGACGTTTATTACGTTAAAAAACGTATATCAAAAGATTTTACTTAGTAATGTACGGAACTGTGTCCTTTTTATGTAGTTCAATTACTATAATTACTTCATAATTAACACAACAAATTTTAAGTCATCTATTAAAAGTTACATTTAAGTTATCTAGTTAATGCCTTTATACACAGTAATAAATTGTAATTTAGATTTTTTTTCTGCTAAGTAAAATAGAAAACTAAGTTTAAATAAATGTTAATTAAAATACAATGAAAGTTTATGTATAATGTACATATATTTAACGTAATTAAAGTACTTAATATCAAAAGTACTTATATTTTAATTATTCTTTTTACCAGAAAAACTAGATCGTTTTTAAACTCATTTATCTCCGAATTTTGAATTTGCTGCTTGTGCCTTTTTTTCTTTCGAAGTCAGTGTAGATGTACAGTGTAATGCAGTATTTGATTATTACGCATTTCATCAGTACAGACCCTTACAAATGCAACATATAACCTAACAGTGACTGATTATAAAATACGTTTTGACTAACTATTTATGATCCATACCTGTAGCGTGCGGCGTCGTCGTAAGCGAACTTGCAAGATGGTTACCACCAGCAAGCATTGCAAAATCTTAGAACGTAATAAAATGTGTTCCGCGAATTAAGGTTTTGATTTCAACATTACAGTAAATATCAGGGTACAATGTAAAAATGTCGATGATATCACGCAACAATTAACTGATATTGTGATAAAAATGGGTCGGCTTGTGCTTGCCAATGGACGTTTACGGAGATATGAATCCATTATTTAGAAAAAAAAAGTGATTCTAATTTATGTATATTGTTTTAGCACCATACAACCCGGAGAGTCCAGTCCTGGAATCATCACTAACATTCTTCTGGGTGATGCCGCCTCCAGAGCAAAGACCGACCGAGTACCCCCGACCACTCCTCCTCCAATATAACATGATTAACGACACTCATTTATCAACACACGCAATGGAACAGATAAAGAAAAGCATTAAGTATTATTTCAACTTTGCTGACGATACTTTTGTTAAATTCAAGGACAATTTTAAGCCAGATATAACCTACTTAGATAAATTGAAATGTACTTTGACTCCAAAATTTCCCCGCGAACAGAGCGATGGTTTATTGTGGCACTTTATACGCGATGAGTTGGGTTGTTCATCCGAACATGATGATAAAATGGATTTGGACGCGCTATTGGCTGTTCCTCAACCAATTCCTGTGTCTAAACCAAGTCAAACTACAACTATTCCCAGCTTTCCATCTGTTAGCACGTTACAACAGATGGTGAGTCGACCAGCTGGTATTCCACCTTTAAACGTTTCTTCAGGGATAGGGTCTGGTTCTCCCCACAAGTTTGAAACGCCCCCACTGAATATTCCTGTCTTATCTACGTCATCTAAATCATCGTCGAAGTCATCGACGCCTTCATTGTCGTCAGCATATCCTTCAGGTCTGGACATGCTAACCAGCATGGCTTTAGGTTTGGGATCTACAAATATGTCAACCTTAGGTCTAGGAAGCAGCAGTTTAGAAAGCTTAGCTGCTGCAAATAGTATGTTATCGGGCCTTACCCCTGGAATGTCTCCTACACTGGCAGCAAGTTTAAGTGGCAGTAAGCTTCCCGACCCTCCTTCCTACGCCGCCTCATTGCAAAACTTAACTAGTAGTTTGGGAAGCTACGATAAAGGAACTACAAGTACAGCTACTAGTACAACCTCCACGGCGCCCATTCCTGCTAGCATCGCTTCAAACCTCATGATGAGCTCGGCAGACATAGCAAATGCTCTGTTTTCAGCCAGTAAATATTCAAGTGCAGGTATATTAGGCATTCCAGATCCCATGTCAAAATCGACATTAGCAGCAAATAATATGTTTTTATCTCCGTCTTTGATGAAGATGCAGGAATCTCTAATGAAGCCCCTTTCAAGCAGCGGTTCAATGTCTGCAAAAGTAGGATTAGATCGGAGCTCATTAATGAAATCTCCGCACGACCTTCTGAAGACCAATAAAGATTATTTACCACCAGAATTTGGTAGTATCGGGAAATCAAAATCCGACATACCACTGGATCCAATGAGATATACGGAAGCCAGCTTGTCTTCCAAAATGGACACGTCTAAATCGGATGTCAACGATCCGCAGGTTCCGGATTACACTAAAAGTTCACGCGTTGGGGGAGATTCATTCCTAAATCAGATGCTGGAGTTGACTAAAAAGACTACTATGCCTGACTATGCAGCTGATTACAGTCAGCCGTTAAAGCTGTCGAAGTCTGAGGAAATGGCGACTTCGTTGCCGCCATCTAGTCATATATACTCGAGTACTTCAAGTTATGTGGACAGCATGGCGCAATTGGCTGCAGGCAACTACGCCAAGCAAGATGAGCCTATGGACTTTAGAAAGGAGCAAGATTATAGCACTAGTGAAAGTGCCAATGACAATGACAACTGAACGCGTGTAGGGTATGTGAAAAGATATGTGTGGAAACGTAGATAATATATTTAAGCACTTACTCATACCAAGACTCTTTAATCGTTGTTTATATGTATGGTTATGATCGTTAAAAATACTTTGGTGTATGCGTAATCTCAACATACAGGCCGTATATTTGAAAGTGAAACATATTCATACATGTCGTAGTAAATCATATTTCAACTTAACATACATTAAAATAAAATTAGGATATGGGATAGAACAAAAAATAAATCAACGAATGTGTTTTGAAGTGTACATAGGAATAAACCGAACCTTTACGCTTGATTTCGAGTGCAATGGGAATGCTACCAAGCGAGCGCCGAGTGAGACAGCAACAATAACAATGATTTCACATTTACGTTTTAGCTTATGCTAATTATTTTTTACTTGAACTATCATCGAAATGTTTTAAGTACTAAAAAAGATAAGTTTATGATTTAGTAACTAGTTATCATTTAATAAGAATTGAGGTTTTTGGCGTAGTTAAAAATGTGAAATCAAATTGTTTAAAATGATTTTTTAGTTGTTTACAGTTTATTTACACTTACGTGGTACGGAGTAAGTGTTCAAAATGTCCACCGTTTGCCACAATGCATAGTCTAGCACGGCATAGTAAATTTTGTTTTAAATTGCACAACACAAATACGTTTTGTCTCACAGTATAAAATGCTGAGATAATCCTCTCACGCAACACTTCGACACTGTTCACCTCCTCCGCCTAAACTCCGATTTGGGAACATTTCAATAGCTTGTCTCACACCATTACCACTTATTGCGTAAAGTCGCACCATCTGAGTCAATTCGACGTTAGAATAAATATCCATTTTGCGGCGATTGGGCGAGCGGAAGTACAAAATAATTTACGTGTCTTCATTAGATCAAGGTCGCGCGTGCACTGTCTGAAGTTGCAAACAGCAATTTCGCGTATGCGCCCGCGCCCCCAACCCCGACCTGTGCTTTGGTTTTCGCTGCTGTGCCGCCACCCACCGCTGCGTCGGAGCAATAATAGTGATGTGCATAGATTTCGATAACTAATGTTGTTCTCAAGTAGTAGTCGATAAAAAAAATTAAAAAATATTTTTTGTAAAGTTTAAGTTCATTAGTTTATTATTTCTTTGGGTTCAGAATCAGGAATATAACGCACTCTATAAGTATGTCCCACTTTCAAATATACAGTCTGTATTTCGGAACAAGTGTATTTTATGTGTGTTCTTGATCTAATATTTATGCATAATATAATTTATTACTTAGGAGTACTTACTTACTGTAATAAACATGACATTGATTGATATTATTTTGTGCTTTAATTATTCAGTTTAGTGGTCCGAGTAAAAGATGAGTATGGTACACACAAATTCGAGCGTGCACGTGGTCTATGACCTCGTAACTTCTCAAAATACATTATTAGGTTCATAATTCTCTAATGATGAAATTGCGCGCTATTATACTACCATTGTGTTAGCAGGGCTGTAGTAGGCAACTACGAATCGAGGGACATTTAAATTTTAATTCATGGCCTGAACATCCGTAATTGTTGTTCCGCCCATGTGGCACACAATGTTTTTCATAAAACTTGCGAAGTAGTTAAGAAAAAAACGTTTATTCATATTATATTTCCAAATTGTTAGTACGTCAAAAAAAAATTTTGAGCATTAGAAAGCTTTTTGTTTTGATTCTACGTATGAATGAAAAAAAATCTTATAAATTTTAGTTACAATAATCCATGGTATATACGCGTTTGTATGCACCTCGTATGTTAAATGAAATGAAGCAGACTGTATTTACATTAATTTTCATAAACAAAATATCCATTGCAAAGACTTAGTACATAGATATCGCTGATCCACTGCTTTCTGAGGGCGTGACGCGAACCGCCTACCACCCTAGGAATTAGTAGGACCGCATGATAAAAATACTGCCTAATTTTACACTTACGTACATACATACAAGTGTGATGAAAAATACTTTACTTATTAGTTTTTTTTTATTTCTATTTGCGTATAAATAATATAATAATAATAAATGTGAACAAGATGCCATGAACAGATTAATAAAGCTATCCCCACTAAAAGGTTTTAATTCACTGTAAACTACTTAGACACCGATAAAAAATAATCAAGTTACGATAGGAAAGTGACTATCAGATATGAGGATTATACGTATAAATGTATTTGCCATTTTTGTACTAGCTTTGATCCGAGTAAACGCCTGGTATATTGAAAAGTGTGTGAAAAAAGCGACAGTTGTGTGATTTTTTCGTGATGTGGCTCGTGCTGTAGAAATAAACGTAAGTAGGTATTTTTAATTTTTATTTTTGTGCAATAAAAATTCAAAATATCTCCATTTTATTATAATAATAATATTGAGATTTCATTACAGTTTGAATTGTTCATACTGGGTGCATTATTATTTTTGCTAAACTTTGAAAGAAAAAAGTTGTTTTTATTGTCTTCTTAAAATATGTGCAAAAAAATCCTAGGAATTTATTACAACAATCTAAATTCTTGATAATTAAATAGCATTTACAAAGAAATTACAAAATATTCTGTTGACTTAAGTTTCTGTTGACAACAGTGTTTTTATAGAAAAAAAGACAAAAAGACAAAAGATGTGTACCCCAAGCTGTAAGTTTTGATCATCTCAACAGATGCCAGCATGACCATCGCAAACACTAATACTGTAGTCCGTACACAAGCAAAAAGTTTGTTTACGCGAATTTTGTATGTTTGTGCTTTTGTTAAGGTGATATATAAATAAACAGAACGATATCATCTTACTTGGTATAATAAAGCCACGTGAGACACGTCAAAAGTGCCTTTAACACATGAAAATCATAAAAATAATACGAACCACATGAACCAAATTATATGTGTGGAATTTTTAACTCTTCTACTTAAATATAAAAAGGTTGCCGACTTATTTCGTTCCTACAATTTTAAAACTCGAAATATAATTTTGCAGATATGGCCTTATTACACCTAGGTTGCGATATTATAAGTGTTTATACACCCTATCGCTAGTGACATTTTGAACTTCCAATTTTACATCATGAGAATGATCAAAAATTTAGCCGCCATACCTGTACCACAGGTCCACATTCTTCTATTTTTTTCTTGCAATAATGCGTCAATGGCTGCACCATTTACAATTGCACAACGTTTCAGCAACCATGGCTACGACGAGCATGAACTTTCCTAAAGTGGACAGTGATAGCGACATCACGGATTCTGAAGACACCTACTTGTATGAAGACTCTGACGAAGAGTAAGTTTCCGACTATACCAGTTCTGTTTATAGGCATAAATTACATGTTGCTTTGCACCTTTTCTCCATTTATTCTGTCTTGTAACTTTTTACTTATGTGTACAATCGATGCCCTAAGATACCTGACCCCCTAACCGACCATTTAGTGGAGTAGATAGGTGTGCAGAAGTGTTTTAAAACAAGTTTAACTTAACCAGTGGGCCGTGAAATTCATTTTGATATGACTTCCTGATTGAATCATTTGTGAATGACCTTTATAGAGACTTTCTAAGCCTATTTTATCTTTAACGTACACTTATTTAAACCATAAATATGGAATTCCTTTAACATTTTATGTTGAATGTGTAGGATGGTTCTCAGAATCAAAAGGCCGGCCAAGGGGTTAGGTATCTTAAGGGTCGACTATACAATAGGTATTCTATTATACTTATCGTCAATAGTCCTTAGTGTATAAGGGACATTATAGCGCATAAATATTCGTATAAATTACAAATTCCTGTATTATCAGTTGAATTTAACGTTTTATTAATATAATATTCGAACTTGATAACTTAAATTCATTATATCAACTATCTAGATCTTGATAATTTTGTTGACGTAAACGACGTCGATCTTCGTTAGAATTGTGATTTTCATTAACACAAAGATAACATTGTAATGGTACTTATCATGAAATCAATACTGGACATCAATATTAACAATTTTCCTTTTGAAATGTTTGAAATTTATACAAATTTGTACTTAACAATGCAATCAACGTCACCTTCGATTTGTAGATCTTTCTTATATTTAGGATCCAAGTGAGTACCCATATAACTACTGAAGTACTATACTTAGAGCTTTAAATCGCAAAGCTGAAACACAAAGTTAACAAGTCCCATGTGCCTGTAGTTCCGCCAGTAATTATCATTGGCGCTATAAATAGATATAATGGTATTTAGAAGAAGCTCTACTGCTACCTAAATAATTTCAAAATTGTTCAATCTCTTAAACTCTTCTCTAAATCTCTTGTAAATATCCATTCAGTCTTCATTGATAAACGATCCTGCAACCGCAGTATAATAACTGAATGATGGCAATTAATAAGCGGATATGTGTTATAACTCTCAAATGCGTAATCAATAAGTTATCGTTGATGTGCACTCCAGTGATATTTATTGATAAAGACTGATTAATTTAAGTGATATTATAATATCGTTGCCTGCAGTTACAATGGATTAATTATAATTATTAATGCGCCTTTGTTTCTTGGTTGCTGTATAGGTACTAAGTAAATACCATTTTCAGGGTCTCAATGTTTTAGCTTTTGAGAGAATGAGATGATTTTTTTCTTTTTATTGAATAGCTACTAGCTCTTAACATGAATTATTTGAGCATGGTTCTTAATTTTTTATGTCATAAATCTGAGTAGGTACCTGCAACTCTTTTACCTAGTTAGGGTTGGAAGTTTATTTTAGTAACGTGTTCATAAAATATTGAATTTTTGTTTATTATTACAATAGCACTCTAAGCGCCATGTAGGCCGCCCACAAAAATTGTACTGCAGTAGGCCACTACGTACCTTTGAATGTTAACCAGTAAGCCATGTGGGCCACCGGCAGCCCACAAAAACCCAAGTGCAGCAGGCCACCATGTATTTTCGAATTTTACCTAGCAGGCCATGTGAGTCGCCAGCGTACCACAATTAGGAATCAAAATTTATTTTCGATTCTTCTAGTCCTGACCAGTCAAAGTTTGCATCAGCGGGCCGAAAATATAAGTTGTGCGTTCGGCGAACACAGCCAATTGTTTGGCTCTTCTGCTAACAATTAATCCACATTGTAATCAAGTGTCGATCTCGTCTCTAGTGGCGACATCCGTCTGTTTTTGGTGGAATCACGGCGTAATGCGCGGCCTGCTGGCAAAGCTTGAAGATGTCCCGCCGGCAGCCCACATGGTCTGTTACAAAAGTTACTCGAGATCAGGCGTGACGTGTTGTGAAAAAAAAAACGCTGAAAAAGCTATGCTCGGTATTTCCCTACGTGATAGAATCAGAAATGAGGAAATCCGTAGGAGAACTAAGGTAACCGACATAGCTCGAAGAATTGCTCAGCTGAGGCAGTGGGCGGGGCACATAGCAAGGAGAACCGATGGCCGTCGGGGCGGACAGGCTCTTCAATGGCGACCGCGCACCGGACGCGCGCTCTGTGAGTAGGCCCACCACCAGGTGGACCGACGATCTGGTAAAGGCAGCGGGAAGCCGATGGATGTGGGCAACGCAGGACCGATCGTCGTGGAGATCGTTGAGGAGACCTATGCCCAGCAGTGGGCGTCGTATGGCCGAATGATGATGATGATGAATGTATCTATTGATGATTTATTACTTATGCGATTTATTTCATAGCAATATATTATTATTAAATTAATAATTTAAATCAAATCTTTGAATTTAGTTGTGTAATACATTAAATGTTAGTAGAGATATTTTGTACTATTGACGTACTAAATGTTACGAGCTTTGTGATTTGTGACGTGGCAAATAAAGAATTTGAATTTATCTCTAGATGTTCTAGTTTAGTATAATTTTATTTCAGACAGAGAACAGCGCAAGCCCAAAAAGGATGGAATCTCTTTCAAGAGATCCCGATCAAGAGGGAGACCGGGTCGATGGCGACCACTGCATGGATTGACTTCAGTGTAAAAGTGCTTAAAGTGTTGGCCTATATCCTTGTATTCATCTGCGTGTTGGGAGCCGCTGTGATTGCGAAAGGCACATTGCTGTTTATAACGTCCCAGTTGAAAAAGGATCGACGAATCGTACATTGCAATAAAGCTTTAGGTTCGTAATTACTTTTTCAGAATGTGCCCGTAAATAAGAAATTACTAACGAGAGTTTGTTAGAAGTCCGAAGCCGAAGGCTGCTAAGAGCTTTAAGGTTTTGTAATTTTTACCGCCTGTGCTACATAGAATGTATTTCATAGAATGTTTTTCGTCACATTTGCGAGGAAATAGATACAACGATAATTTATTTCTTGTATGAATAAATATCGCTTCACAACACAACATGTACGGATTTTGCAAATGGCGGGATTTTTGTTTTTTTTTTTAAACAAATTGCTAGGTATTCTTCCATAGATAATACAACTTGAACTAAAATGTTATAAAAGCCAATGACGCATGCAGCCACAATGTAAAATAAATTATTTCCAAAATTCTAAAAACACTGCAGAATTCGAATTCAGTTCTTATTATTAATAACACTATTAGATTACCATAAAGTACTTTATGCTATTTTTTAATAATAAATTCGGTTACTGGTGAATTTCGTAATATCGTTTTAAAGTGTTTGAAACCGTGTTAGCCTAATGTTTTGGCCTACCACCACTCACGCAGAGGATCATGGGTTCGAATCCGTGCTTGGTCCACTAAATTTTTCGGAATTTATGTGCGAAATTGAATTTGAAATTTACCATGAGCTTTTCGGTGAAGGCAAACACCGTGAGGAAACCTGCACACATCTGGAAAGCAATTTCATTAAATTGTTAAATTGTTGTGTAATATGTTTGTGAAGTTACCAAACCCCGTCATTGTGAGAGAACGCCTGTGCCCAGCAGTGGGACTATACATAGGCTAATTATTTAAAGTACTTTTAGTAGGGTGTGGTACACAATAGGCCAGACGAAAGATTGGTGAAAACATTCAAAGTAAACAATTTTGTATAATTATGTTTTTTTTTTTTCACTTAGAAGTCTCAGACAAAGTTAGACTGACTGTAAAAATAATGTATCTTTAAAAAGGTTGTTATTCTTTGTCTGCAGAATTAGATCAACAGTTTGTAACATACCTGCCAACCGAGGAAAGGCTAGCTTGGCTCTGGGCTGCTCTTATAGTTTTCGCCGCTCCTGAATTGGGCATTTTTCTTAGATCAGTGAGAATATGTTTCTTCAAATCTGTTGCGAAACCTTCCATTGGTCAGTTTTTAATTGTAAGTAATCCTTAATCTTACACGTAATATTGCATTAAGTAGGTTATTATTATTGGCCTGATATTGGTGGCTAGAACGTAACCAATTTCCGTCAAATTCATCTATTTTGATAATATTTAATAATATATGCTATGACGACCTCAGTGGCTGTCTGCAATATGGGCACTGAATGTGGAGGAAAGTTCATTTCAAAATTCCCAATTTGGGAAATGAACTTTTTGGATTTGGTGTGGGTGTTCTGGGTAGTGCCTTTAAGTGAATTCTGTTGCTCTGGTACTCATAGTGCAGGGAATTACCTAGTTTCTTAGTTTCTGACCAGGGACTGCCTGGCGGCAAAAGTAGGTATAATGGCAATACTTCTTTGGGAAAATTCTTTCACAAGGAGCTCTACTGCTACTATTGAGGGCGTCTCACAGCTACAATGACACGAAGGGGAAGCACCTACTTTAAATATTGTAGATAGGACATCGATGCCTTACTTTCTCAAACTCGTATCTCATAGAGTGATTATTCAAGAGATGGTAAAACTTTATATTTATTTTAAATTTCTTATCGAAAGTGTTAATTTGGATGCATTACTTTAAGAATAGGTTTTTACCTAAGTAATGTTTGCCAGTTTGTGAATATGTAGGAAATGTGATGTGAAATCAGCCTGCAAAATTTGTATATACAATCCATTTTTTGCATTTCAGTAACTTTGTGCTTTAAGATACGAATTTGAGAAAGTAAGGCGACAATATCTTGCTTCATGGAGACATTACACTACTTAGGCAAACAACTTTTTAACAGCCTGAACGGCGTTCCTTTAACCACGTACCATTTTGTTATTTTTTGTATTTGTTATAAGAAAATGATACCGAATAAGTATTTTCGCTTCCATTATGAATCTTTATTTTCAGGCGTTCGTCATAGAAACTTTGCATGCGGTCGGCATAGCTATGCTAATACTTATTATATTACCTGATTTGGACGTTGTAAAGGGTGCAATGCTAATGAGCGCTATGTGTATAGTACCCGGAATCCTACAAGCTTGCACGAGGGACCGCACGGATTCGAAATATTATACGTTTTTAATCCTAGATGTCTTCGCCGTGTCCGCTCAAGCTACTGCATTTGTTATGTGGCCGCTAACTGAATGTAAAACATCGATTTATATGACACCAGTGGCATGTGTTTTGGTGTCTCTTGGATGGTGGGAAAACTACGTCGATATATTTGACCAGAAGAATGCGTCAGGTCAGTCTTTCTTTTTTTTTTTTAAATAAGTGCGCATTTGACCTCCATCTCACCTGATGGCAAGTGATGATGAAGTCGACGATGTAGCATGTACACCTACATAATCCCTATTCACTCTCGCCTTAAAAAGGTCCAAGTTATAGCATTCGAGGAATAAGTTCGCAGGTAGGGGATTCTCCACTCTCTAGCCGCTCGCCATATAAATGTGGAAGCGAAACGCTTCGTGTAAAACCTGGGAATATCCACAACATAGGGGTGGAATCCCAGCCCATGTCTAGTCCCCCGATAATGGAAAGGGGAAGGTGGAATCAAATTATGCAATTCCATCGCACACTCTCCGTGATATATTCTGTAGAATACCGATAAACCGGCAACTTTACGACGGTGTTCAAGGCTCTGCAGCTTTGCCTCTGCTGATTCCGAGTCACCTATAAACCTATTATATATACTACTATATATAAAGTGGCCAGTTGGTATTTAGCAGAGCCATCCCATGAGTGGCAGTGTACTCCATACACGACCGGACTTCTGCTTGGTACAGCTTAAGCAACTGTCCCGGTGTAGTAATGCCTGAAGTAACGCCTGAAGTAACGTCTCACTTTGGGAAGTCAGTTTGAACGAAAACTTTTTGTTAGCAGTCTACGTAATCTAAAATTAGACGCTTGTTGAAGCGCTGCAGTGGTGCGGCAGTAATTTTTAGTTTACTTAGGGCGCGTTTTGCCATGCAATCCGGCTAGCACCCGGCGCTCACAGGTACCCGGACCTTTGAGTGAGAATTGGTTACCGAAGACTTGAGGGCGGGCACCCAGGCCCCCATACCAGTTAATGTTACTGGTCTTAAAGAGAGCAATAAGAAACTAGTTCATCAAGCGTTCCATCCCGGCTTGTTCACCACCAGGCCAAGAAGTGTCTCACTAAGTAACAAGGCTGATACTAACATAGAAGTTCCATTAGCCGCGAGTAACAGCCACACCCATATCTCCGACATGCTAACCTATTCTGACCACGTAGATGCTAATCACCCAACCTGGCAGAGAGTACCTACGCTTAGAAATGCAAAAAGAAAAAGGTATCTTCACCATCCCCCGAAAGATTGATTGTCACTAACAGATTCAGTGGACTATCTACTGAAGAAATAGATGATGATGGCAAACAAAATAGCGAAAATCTAAATAAACCTTTAAAACCACCTCCTATAATCTTGTGTGGCATCAAAGACGTCAATAAAATAACAGTCCACAAACAAAAGTCCTTGAGCATATCGTGAATAATTCAGATTTCAGCTACAAAATTGTCAACCAAAATCAACTGCGTATCAGCTGTACCACCGTAGAGGTATACAAAAACATAATAGATGCAGTGAGAGGAAAAGGCCTAATCGGACATACTTTCAATAGAAAAGACAAACGGCCCTATATAATCGTGATCAGAAACCTTCATCACGCAACACCAATTAGTGCAATAAAAGAAACGCTGGAAAGTACGGGTAACACTATTATTGGAGAAAAGAAAAGAAGCCATCCACCACATTCTTTCCGAATCTAGCACATGGCCCCAAAAACAAAGCTGTCAAGAATCTCAAATACATACACCACCAGTCAGTTATTATAGAAGATCCACGCAAACGAAATGTAGTAGTCCAATGCCAAAGATGTCAACAATACGGCTACACTAAAACTACCGTATGAGACCGTATCGTGAGTATCGATGCGTGAAATGTGCACAAGCTCACAAAACCGCGGGGTGTCCTAAGATAGATCGTGCCTAGGCGCCCATCCAGCAAATTACAAGAGTTGCGAGGTGTATAGAGAAATGTTAGCCAGGAAATCTAACAAACAGCAACACCTTAAACGCAAGGACCACCAAAAAGTGGCTGTTGGTCTGACTATCCAGTTCCCACTCCAACCCATTGATGAAAAGGTTAGACCAACTCCTGGCCATTCTCAGCGACCCAGATATGCCGATGTATTGAAAGTCAATAAAAACAAAACAACTGAAATCCCCTCCACCATAAGTCAAACATTGGAAGAAATGTTACTCAAACAAACAGAAAAGTTCGATTTAATCTTACAACACATGAGTGCACTTATTAGCCTTATAACAAACCTAGTCTCCAATTTAGTAAAATGACCTCCCTCTAGATAGCCTGGAACCTAGACGGGCTGTCTCCAAACAAAGAAGATGTTGAAGTTCTGCTGCTCACAATATCGATATACTGCTGGTATCTGAAACTCACTTTACGGCGAGTAGTAGGATCCGGATACAAAACTATGGTATTTATGCCACCAATCACCCAGATGAAACTGTACGCGCAGGAGCAGCCGTAATCGTGAGGTCAAGCATCAAACACAGTGAATTAGCACAGTTTAAAAAAGCCCACATACAAGCAGGCACTATTGCATGAAACGGACCGTTTAATGTGTCAGCCATATACTGTCCTCCAAGACATAAAATAACTGAAGGGTTATACGATGAGTTATTTGACGCGCTGGGCGCACGTTTCGTAGCCCGAGGAGACTGGAATGCCAAAAGGCCCTCCAGATTGACTAATACCAGGGGTAGAGAACTCAAGAAGAGTCTAGATAAGAATAATATCACCACGATATCAACAGCTGAACCTACTAACTGGCCTACCGACCCTAATAGGCTACCAGATGTCATATACTTCTTTGTTGTAAAGGGGCAATCTAGACTTTACCGTTCGGTGCAGACGTGTCTGCGATGTCGCGTCGCAAAAACTTTGTTTGGCCTTTACAGCACAAGCCGCCACTTCGGATGCAAAATGGAAAATGGGCTAGAACTGAACAGAGCAAACTGGAACAAAGTGAAAGTGGCCTTTGCAAACCATCTGAGTCAAGTCTTCAAACCAAATCCTGCTAAACGAATGCGGATGAATAAGATATTGACACCGTTCTTAACCAGGACTTCCAACTTGACCTTCCTCTAAAATTAGCGACGCCCAGGGAGATAAGTAGATATATTAAACTCATGCCCAACCACAAAGCACCAGGGTTCGATCTCATCGACAAGAAAGTCCTTGAAGAATTGCCGCGCAAAGAAATTGAATATCTCACTATGCCATTCAATACAATCATGAGAGTAGGACATTTCCCAGATCTGTGGAAAATATCCCAAATTATAATGGTCAACAAACCTGGTAAATCTCCTCACGAAATCACTTCATATAGACCGATCAGCCTACTGCCTGTTATGTCCAAACTGTTTGAGAGGTGTCTGCTACATAGGCTGACACATGTATTTCAGGAAAATTCTGTTGTCCCTGACCACCAATTTGGATTTAGAAAAGAGCACTCAACTGTAGAATAAGCGTTTGGCTCAAGGGGTTGCTATATAAAATAAAGTCATTACTGCCACACAAATTCTATGGAGTCCTGAGCTCATTAGTAACAGAACATTTCAAATTGGGGATAGCGACCACACATCAGGATTTCATGAAATCTCTGCGGGTGTTCCAAAAGGTTCCGTGTTTGGGCCTGTTCTGTACACACTCTTCACAGCTGACCTGCCACAAAACCCAAAGGCCACCGTTGCTACCTTCGCTGATGACACGGCGTTACTAGCCTCAAGTAAATGTCGAGTTGAAGCATCCCGACTACTTTAAAGCAGCTTAAACGAAATGGAGAATTGGCTAGCAAAATGGAGAATTGCTGCTAGTGAGACTAAATCAGTACGGGTCACCTTCACTCTCCGCAAAGAAGACTGCCCACCGGTCACCTTAAATGGCGCTCAACTCCCACACCAGAAAATACCTACAATGCATTTGGACCGCAGACTTACCTGGAAGAAACACATCCAAACCAAAAGAGATGAGATGATGATGATCTTGATGAGATCAATTTGAGATTCAAAGGACTCCTCTGGCTAATTGGACGAAATTCTAAACTGGCCATTGATAACAAAATTCTAATTTATAAAGCAATACTAAAGTCAATTTGGTCTTATGGCATACAACTCTGGGGCACTGTTAGTACCTCTAATATAATGATTATCTAAAGGATGCAGAGCAATATACTCCGACAGACATCAAATGTGCCATGGTTCATAAAAACAACGGAGATTCACGAATTTCTTTCATTTACAGTTAGAGAAGAAATAGCCTCCCACAGTAATAAATACAGAACTCGGCTAGAAAATGACCCAAATCAACTAGGCAAGCAGCTCACTATGCCTGAAAGCATACGACGACTAAAAAAAGGCGTGACATCTTTGACCACGGTAGTCAGAAAATACCTGACTACACAACTTATAGGGCAGCGCTCCATATATAGGTACCTATGTACTAAATCTATGGTCACGACAGTCTGTCGTCATAACGTCAAAAAAGTCGTGAACGACAGTTAATCGTGTTCTTCTATGTGTGTATCTGTGTACTGTCGTCACGACATAATGGGAACGAGCCCTTATTGTGATTTGTGTCACGATAGTGGCGCTGCAACTATGTTATGGATATTCCCAGGATTCGCACGCAGCGTTTCGCTTTCCCATTTGTATGGTAAGCGGCTAGGTAGTGGAATTTCCCGCCTGCAGTCTTGTTCCTCGAACGCTGTAACTTAGACCTTTTCAAGGCGAGAGTGAATAGGCATTGTTTAGGTGTGGTCCACAAAGACTAAAATTACTTTTGTTATTTTCGCAGCTTTGAGTACATACCTATGCGATCTTCGCATTAACCTGAAGAAAACTCGGTACTACACCCAAAGAATTCTTTCTCTATGGAAAATATTCATTTTTATGGTTGGCATTCTGATTTCGCTGCATATTCAAGACGACAACCCTTGGTCCTTCTTCACATCTGTAAATGAAATATTTGGTGAAAGATTTTACACGGTGTACGAGGTAAGATTTATAATGTTTATTTGGATATCCAAACAATATTCGTGCCCTTGGCTTTCTACGAAACTTAAATACAATAGACAGCGTGTCTAACTAGAATCTTAAGATTTAAATTCAATTCTATATTGCCTACAATAAGAACCGTTCAAGTCCAAAGCATCACGCTTGATGTGGCCTTGACTACGTAATGTTTGTATTTATTATGTTGTGTAATACTGTTATTAATACAGTCAGTAGCTGCATACGTTACGTTTAGTGACGGTAATTTTGGTCTGCGCGGTCCACGGGTCGCGTATCTGTTTATTAGCGAGATAACAATACATCTGTCTCGCTCTTGCAATAATGTAGGCCCTCTGATTGGTTGATAGTGTATTCAGCACTTTTAGTAGACTATTCAGCGTTTTTAAATTATTATATAAATAGCGGCATTGGCCAATAAACACATTCTGTTTCCAACTCTCAACATCAGCATTTCACCTGCACCTAAACTACCACTGAAGCGCACCTAAATTGGTGACCCCGACGTAATTTAAACACGCAACCTTATGATATATTTATGATTAATTAATATAGAAAATATAAATTTTTGCGTATACGTATAACTTAAAATTATAATAGGAGACCGTATATATTACATCGACCTTTAGAAAAATATGATCGGTTGATTTTGGTTTAGTAGAGCATCTGTCACTCATATCTACATGATATTTTGACGCTAATTTTTTGGTCGTTGAACGGAAACGGCGATCTAAAAATCCGAAGGTAGCCGATAACGACCGATGGTTATTTCCTAAAGATCGATGTGTAATATTTCCGACCTGGGTATTGTATATTATGTTTTAGTTACTGATCAAATCAGAGACTCTACTATGATATCACCACTTACGACTTTTGTCATATTGGCGTTGATACGAATGAGCTAGGAAGTGTAATATGACTTATAATATAGGAAATTCAAGCTCACTAATCACATTTAATAAATATGTATATATATATATATATATATATATATATATATATATATATATAAATAACGACGTATACATTATAATTTAACTTAACTGCAATCTGTGAAAAAGCCGGGTAGCGTACCGCCTCTCAAGCAGAGGCCGTGGGAAACCGGCCTCGCACCTCGTTTCGGAATTTATGTGTATGTTTGAAACTTACTATGAGCTTGAAGGAAGGAAAATATCGTGATCTGCACGTCGAAGAAGGGACACAACCCTCGGAAAAAGTGTAAAGTCCCTAACCCGCAAGCCAGCACGGCGGATTATGGTCTTTACTCGCGCCTGAGAGGAGACCCGTGCCCAGCAGTGAGACGTATAAATGGGTTGATGATGACTAACTGCAATCGTCTTTAGTAAATGCAACGTCTATTAACTAATTGCAAGGTCGCAGAAAACTTTGTTTCTGACATGAACAATAAATTACATCTACAGTACTTATATAACTTTCTTAATATCTCTCGGCAATCTTCGGATTTCTGAATGCACCCGAATACCCTTATATAGTAGTTACCAGATTTAACATCTATATTAAATAATGATATAAAAATTTTGCTGTTGTATTATATTTATACTAATTGTTTATTTATATCTCATATTTCTCCGTCTGATCTCTTTTATTTTACTCTTTCTCCCACCTTACTTCTTGTACATGGCTGAAACGTTATCCACGAGAAGTGAAGAAAAAAGAAACAAAAATGATATCAGAAGTACAAGTACATGCTTTATTGTTTGTATGATTTTGAGTTCCACATATAGAGCTAAAAACCAATTTCATTTTTTATAATAACATTGAATCCTTAAGAATACACCAAGCAAGTTAACAAAAATATAAATTAAATAAAGAATAGTGGTATTCTATATATTGAGGAAAAATAAGAAAAAAAATCTATCTCATTTTTTTTTTCAATTACGATAAAAAAATTGTTATTCTTCGAAAATTTACTCCCTTAATGATATTTTGAATCACCACGACCACATTTTTTCAGATATTTCTGATGTTTTAATTTTAACGGCCACCTAAGTAGTACTGCTGTCTACCACAACTCTTAAAAACCCTAGAATGCCTGCAGTTTTACACAAAAATCCATCAAAATATTTTTTTTCCTTAAAATTTTGAAATATTTTTACCTTCAGTCGACTTTTACTAATCGTTTTGTAAAAAAAAAGTATGGACACCACTGCGGCAAGTTTTTTTAAAAATTGACGCAACTAACCAAGATTCCAAAATGGTATAATACTTTAATAAAACTAGGCGCCAAAAATATTGGTACCATTTCTAAGAAAGATTAAAATTCTTGATTATTGTTCTTGTTCATAATAATCACTTTTACTATGTGCCGAAAAAAGGTTATGTGTTGCAATTTCTTGGAATTTCAATGGCACGTGTGCGTAGTCGATACAATTTAGAAATTAGAGAGAGAAAGATAGCGAGAGATATACGTTAGAAAGAGATAGATAGATGCCCTTTGTTGAATAACAATCAAGAATTTATACTTCCAAGTCGATTTGAGTGCGTTCAGCCATATACCATCATCAGATATCCTTCACACCAACTGCAAAGGCTATCAGATGGAAATCCGATGACATCCGAAAATAGTAGATAGTATACCGAGAAGTATTAAGCAAATAGTGGTACTGTAAAAAGTTCTTATCTAGTGGCATCTTTACCTATCCATCTGTATTGATTTCAGGTACAAGTAATAATTCAAGACCTCTACGAGGGCGCAATAGAGTACGCTGAAACAGGAGGCACATACACATTGCCCATACAGTGGAGCTCCCCGCTATGGGTCGCATTGATCCAAGTGACAGTAGCCTATTTCTGTTTCGCCAGCGCCAAATTCGCGTGCAAAATTCTCATACAGAACTTCAGTTTTACATTGGCTTTAAATCTAGTCGGTCCTGTCACTGTTAATCTGTTGATTACCTTCTGTGGAATAAGGAATGCAAATCCATGTGCTTTCCATAATACTATTCCGGATTATTTGTTCTTCGAGATGCCTCCAGGTACGTTTTTCGTATTTGTTCTTTGAGTGTATTATTGGAAATAAAATTATTTTTTCCGATCTAAATTTGCGTATGTCATACAATGAGCCCGAAACCATAGTATAGTAAGACAATTGTGGTAACTCCATACAACGAAACGCGGCTTGTATGTGTTCACGTTGTCGCCGTGCGCCGTGTACGGACGCACACATCTGCAAAATTTTGCGGTACACTCGCGTTGCATAGCGCGGCCGCTTCATTATTATAGTAATGAAGCGGCCGCTCGATTTCCCAGAGGTTATTCCTTCATTATATGATATCGTCTCTTAGCAAACCGCACCGCTCAAGTCATTTCAAATAAGTCTAAAGGAGTGATAAAGCTGCTTGTACATATTATCGTAAGTATACAAGATTTTTAGGTTATCGACACTAACTAAGTGCTCTGTTATATATATATATAATTGACGTTGTATCATATATCTTTTATTGATATTTACGTTTTATTTTGAATTGAGTAACGTTCAGCAGGGAAAACCGTCATTTTTTATTGGGCGGTGTTGTTTGCTAAGATATGTTAAAGAACAAATTGGGTGAAACAACATACATATTCTTTAAAAAAAATCTAAATTTCCGTACTCTAAATGTGCATATAGGTTTGCTCGATTGTTTGACGATCGACAAGTCAATAGAGCTAGCACAATAGGGCGCGACTTGCGCGAAAGCGTCATGAAGCGTGATGTACTGCTATTCTCGCTTAGAAATCCCGCGCTTTATGTCGCTCTCGCGCTAGTCGCGCCGTGTCGTGCTGGCCCTACTGATCAAACAAAACGAGTAAAGTTGTAAAAACCAGGCAATCGATATCGTATTTTTTGTTATACAAAATCGAGTAAATATGTAAGTATCAGACGTTTGGTATCGTATTCTTTTGTAGATCGACACGTGTCGATCGCCAAAAATCGAATCTGTAGCCACCATAAGTTTTGTACACAATAATAAAAATCCTAGAAATAATTTCATTGAAGATCATTGCTCGATAAAATAACTTAGGTCGCATACAAAGTTGCATTGACTATAGAAACTCCATCTTTTAGTGTACTACATATGGCGGTACATTGGCTACGAGCACGTTTGGGTATGGATTTTGTGGATGATATCCCAAGCGTGGATCACACTGCACACGTGGATGCCTAAATGCGAGCGACTGGCTGCCACTGACAAATTATTCTCAAAGCCATGGTATGACGGTGGACTTATTGACCTGAGTTTACTCATGAACAGGACCAAGGACGATGACGTCGACATTTCAGTGGGGGTAAGTGTCCATAGAATATTTATCAATAATCTCCATTTGGTATTTAATAAGATAAAGAAGATCAATAATATCTACCAATAAATTGGTAGCTTTCATTCGTTTATCCTTGTCTTTGGTTTATCAAAGAAATAACAGATAAGGATGGAATTGTATTAATTATATTATAATATGAAAAGCATGCGTGATGGAAGCCCTTATGTAGGTATGACATTTTTGTCCGAAAGATCATACAAGGTGCCGAAAATAGCGTACCATACTACGAAAATTCGCAAAATTACTTTCGACTTTTCATATATTTTTTGCCGAGCTGTCTCAAATTTTGTACAGGAAAATCCTGAAATGACACTTCCTTAAAAATATTTTTTTAACATTCTAAATCCGTCAAACGATTTTATTTCATCCTTAAAAATATGACTATTAATGCTTTTGTTGTTATTTAACAGGACCTTAGAGAATTAGCAGATAACGCGTCTGAAGGCGAAGGCTCCGGAGCAATTATGAAAGATGTGAAACCATCTGACAAGATTACGAGGTATTTAGATAAATTATTTAAAAGAAATTGATATTTTATCTCTCTTTCATATCTCTTAATTCCCTTGTTTTGACATGGTACTATGTGATTATATGTTTCATTACAATTTATGTAATTAAGCTTTAATGAAATGTCAGGAGGCTTCACCACTGATATTTAATTAATTCTTGCGAAATCACTCCATTAGTTAGGATTTTAATTTATTTATATATTAAGCGATTTTTTTTCTAAGTGTTCGATCTTTATTAATAATTATAACAAAGTAGTGGAGTAATTTTACTAAAAAATAATTGAATATCATGGTGGTGAAACACCCTGACATCCAATAAAACTTATTGAAGTAACTTCTCTAATCAGCGGCTGTTAGTGTAAAGGTACCTACCTCCCTGGGTGAAGAAAACACTTTCATAGATTTCGCACTACAGCAAAAAGTCGTTAAAAACCAAAAACAAAGTTCTCTAACGAACACATGAAAAAATTCGTAAGGTCCGTTGGTTCGTGAGGCTTAGTTGGCATAGCGTCTGGCACAGTTTGCTGGGAGACTTTGGTTCGAATCCAACCGCATCGAAGTGTTTTTTTCCAAGTAAAAGAAACACATTGACTTTTCTCAAAAAGTGCCGCAACAATAACAGAAATGTTAATGATAAACCTGCCTCTGTGGTCGAACGGTTACCATGCCGGACTGCCACGCAGAGGTCACAGGATCGATTCGCGGGAGAAATATTTGTATGGCCTACATTTATTTCTCTCGTGAGTTTGGGTATCATTTGTTGTTGTCTATGTGTGTGTCCATGGTACCCGCGACACAGGGTTTCCTTAACGCGTTATGACAAGGAGGATAGTGATTTTGATAATATAAGCAGTTAGTATTTTGCTAAATCGCATTGCATTATTACAAAAAAAATCTTACTACAAAAAAGGAGAGCTTGGCCTCCATCTCACCTGATGCAAAATGACCTCGTCGACAATGTAGCATGCGCACCTAAATAATGCCTATTCACTCTGGCCTTGAACGTCCCCATGGATCTTTGTGTTTGTTTGTATCAACAATAATGTTATAGAACATGTTCAAACTTCTTCCAATTAAAAAATTGGAATGTTTCGTAGGGTTTATGTCTGCGCAACTATGTGGCACGAGACCAAGGACGAGATGATGGAATTCTTGAAGTCTATCTTCCGTCTTGACGCCGACCAGAGCGCGAGGAGGGTCGCACAGAAATACTTTGGGATCGTCGACCGAGATTATTATGAACTGGAGAGTAAGTGAAATATATTAAAGAAAATCGATTTGCGCAAAAGTTATTTTTTTTAAGCAAAGCTATAAATAACATGAAGGAATTTGATTTAATTTATTCTAGAGCTCTTTTTTAGAGGTAAGTTACTCTAAAAAAATAAGATGTTTTAACTTATGCAAGGTTACGGGATACTTGGTTCTATTCCCATACCAATTGCTTACATGCCTTATAAATGACGTAGGATCAGTTAACGCTAAATTCTGGCGAATGCGCTGCATGTGTGTTGCGCACGCGCTGCATGCGTGCAGTTAACTGCAACTGCCTCCATGGCCGGTTACCACCCTGGACTGCCACGTAGAGGTCTCGGGTTCGTTTCCCGGGCCGGGAGAAATATTTGTATATTTCGCTCGTAAGTTTGGGTGTAACTTGCGGTTGTCTATGTATGTGTCCATGGCACCCGCGATACAGGGTTTCCCTAGTGCGGGGCTATGAGTGAGGGCGTTATTATATTATTAGTATTATATAGTAAAGGGTGCCTATGTAGGCAGGGTGGATGGTGCGCTAGCGACGCGCGAATGTCACGCGAACAGATCTGACAACCTAATGCACGTGTGCAGTTCGCGAGTCTTTCTCAAATGGCCTGTCCAATCTTAGGGCCAGTGCAAACGGCGGAACGCAAAACGACAGACAAGGCGTCTGTCGTTTTGCGTTCGCTTTCGCTTTCGTTGCGCTCGTGTGACTTTTAGAGTTACTTTTTTCTTTGCGGGGCTTTTAAGAGGTCATGTAACTTTTTAAAGTTCCTTTTTTTTCTATGCGGGGCCTTCGAAATGGATAATCTTAGTTTTTAATATTAAAATATTGTCAACAGTACACATTTTTTTGGACGATGCTTTCGAAGTGTCAGATCACAGCACGGAAGATTCTCAAGTAAATCGGTTCGTCCAATGCTTAGTTGACACCGTTGATACCGCAGCCTCCGAAGTCCATCACGCTAATATCAAACTACGGGCTCCGAAGAAATTCCCCACTCCTTATGGGGGCAGACTGGTGTGGACTCTACCCGGAAAGAACAAAATGTTTTGTCATTTGAAAGACAAGGCCAAGATCAGACATAGAAAGCGGTGGTCGCAGGTAATTTTCAATATATTTCTCATTTAGAATGACGACTTGAATTTTGGATAACATCTAGGTGCGTTCCCATTATGTCGTTGTATTTATCGTTGAACGATTGTCGTGTCTAGCTGTTCCCGCTAGATCGTGACGACAATTTAGCGGTTCACGGCAGCCGCCTTGTCATTTGCACGACAGAAACGTTTGAAGCTGCGATTATCTGTCGCCACTACTATCAAATTGTGTCATCGGCTTAATTGAAGAAAGATTTATGTCCATTTCTTTAATATAACAAAACAAATGTCAATTTCTGCCGCCAAGCAGTAATGTGAGCATTACTCCGTTTCGGTTTATAAGAGTAAGGGTGCTGGTGAAATTACAGGCACATGGGACTTTTCAACTTATATCTCACTGTTAATGGGTGTGGTAGCTGTGCTCTTCAAATTCTTGCGATTTAAAGCTCTGGGCGGCACTGCAACTGTTTGATGACCTCGTTGCCTAATGGTTACATGGACGACGAGGTCCCGGGTTCGGTTCCCTGTATACCCAATTTGGTAAATGAATTTCTCTCTGATTCTTAATTGGTTCTGGTCTAGGTGTTCTGGGAAGTGCCCCAGAATTCCGTTGCTTTGGTATTCCTAGTTCGAGACCAGGCAGTTAGTGTAATTGTCTGGCACATATTATTATAAATTGTTAGATTATGGACAAGTGTGTCGCTTACCGCAAGGCGCACGTCTTGTTCGTCCTGTCACTTGGTATCATAAAAAAAATATTGAAGCATAATAGTATTAAGGGCGCTGAATAAGAAATTGCTAACGAGATTTTATTAGAAGGCTTCAATGACTCGAGGTTTGGAATGTATTACCACCCGTTGCTACATACAACGTTTTTCGTCACATGTGCGAGGAAATAAATATAATGATAATTTATTTCTGGTATGAATAAATATCGCTTCACAACACAACAATTAATTACAGGTTTTGCAAATGGCGGATTTTGTTTTTTTTATATATATATATATATATAAACAGATGGCCAGCTATTCTTCCACAGATAATACAACTCGAACTAAAACGTTGTAAAAGGCAAAAACACATACAGCCATGATGATAAAGATATTACTATAAATAATTTACTAAGAATGCTGCAGAATTTGAATTTATAAAATTAATTTAGCAAATGTTTAGTTTTTTTTTCAATACCTCAAAGCTTGAGCTATGAAATAATTCAGATTTTTCGAGCATTAAAACTTTTACTTAATCTTAACGTATACGAGCAGTACCTACAGTGCAATTAACTTTTAAAAAAATTTAAGGCGGTAATGTAACGAAAAAGCCCCGTGGGCGTAATTCAGGCACATTACAGCCGACTTAGCCTGCATGTTATGACACTGTTTACGAGCAAGTGTGATGAAAAATAATTATTATATGTATTCTCCGAGTAGATACAATGACAATGAACTGTTCGTTAAACGCAAAAGGCTCAGCTTTACAAATATTTACTACTAAAGACTGCAATACTTAAATATTACTGTTTGGATTGCTTCAGGTAATGTACATGTACTACTTACTCGGTCACCGTCTAATGGATCTTCCCGTAAATGTGGACCGCAAGGAAGCAATCGCCGAGAACACCTATCTTCTTGCCTTAGACGGCGACATCGACTTCAAACCGACTGCTGTAACTTTACTAATTGATTTAATGAAGAAGGACAAAAACTTGGGCGCTGCATGTGGCCGCATACATCCAGTTGGGTCTGGTGAGTTCTTTTTTATACTTGGAAACACTCACTGTCCACTTCGTGGTACGTGAACGTCTCATATTTTATATTAGTAACTAATGCAGTAGGGAAACCCTGTATGGCAGGCACCATGAACACACACATAGACAACCATACAATTTACACCCAAACTGTCGAGAGAATTAAATGTCCCGGGAATCGAAGTCGGGACCTTTGCGTGGCAGACCAGCATGGTTCCTGTTCGGCTACGGAGGCAGTTATGCACGTCTTATTATTTTATGATATAGATGACATTTCTGCTACAGCCGAAAAACGGAAAACATATCAATAAAACCAATAACTTATTTCGCCATTATTCATACAAAACTGCGTCAGTTGTTTATTGGATTGTATGGATCGTCAATCAAACATTGTTTGAATTTCCAAAAGTCGCAGAACAAAGTCTTTTATATCCTTACAGGATTCATGGCGTGGTACCAGACCTTCGAGTATGCGATCGGACACTGGCTGCAAAAGGCGACAGAGCACATGATTGGTTGCGTACTGTGTAGTCCGGGATGCTTCTCCCTGTTCCGCGGCAAGGCTTTGATGGACGACAACGTTTTGAAGAAGTACACGCTCACTGCCCATGAAGCGCGCCATTATGTGCAGTATGATCAAGGTAAGACGTCATTTAATTTTTTTCTTGATGTGTATGTGTAATATGCTTGTACTATTTAAAACATTTTTCTATTTTTTAACCGACTTCAAATAAAAGGAGGAGGTTCTCAATTCGACTGTATTTTGTGGTTTTTTTGTATGTATGTTACGCGTTAACTTTACGGCATTGATGAACCGATTTTAATGATTCTTTTTTTGTTGGAAATAGTGTACCTTAGTATTGTCCCATTTAAATTTGAAGAACATAGTCCACCTGTAAGGGTGGCAAACTAGGGGAGGAATTCGGTTTCGCGCACTTTCCGGTAACCGATTTCAATCAAACTTGGCAAATAGATGTAATTCCAGAAACTTTTGAAGTTGGTTTTTTTAGTACTCTGTACTGATCGTTGTTAAGGTATTTAAAATCGCATATACATATATATATTTTTGGAATGGGAACTTCTCAATGGGAGGTTCTCAACCTCCTTCTATTTTTGAAGTCGGTTAAAAATAGTTTCATTTCCAGTAAATACCAAGCAATTATTGATATTGAAAACAATCGTTTTACGAAAATTAAGGTTTACTGGATAGAGTAATTTATTGCCATGAAATACAGCGCAGATTCCTTTTATCGATTTAAAGTTATTTCCATAACCTTTATTGTGTTTGCATTTATCAGAAGTATACATTTATCAAACTTAAGTGATAACTCTAGTTTTAATTCGTTTTATCTTGTGCTGTAAAGTATTTAGGTAACCAGATAGGTAATCAATTTTCAAAGCAATTTACGTACGTGTGTAATTATTTGGAAAATTATTTACATAAATAAATAAATATAAATAAATAAACATACACTCATAGCCCCGCATTAGGGAAACCCTACAACGCGGGTGCCATGGACACACACATTGACAACCACAAATACACCCAACTCACGAGAGAAATAAATGTAGGCCTTACAAATATTTCCACTGGCCTGGGAAGCGAACTCAGGAGGTCTGCCACAGACCAGCATGGTAACCGTTCAGCCATTGAGGTAGTTGATTTCATGCATTTCAAATGAGGCTGTTTTTTTGCATCTAAATAGTGTATATTTTATTTTGCCAGTCAGCCGCATCCATGGGACCTGTAAAGGGCCCGAAGCTTTGGTTTGGTTACAAAAACATAAGCAAGTTACATTCGAAAACTAGTAGTTTAATTTCCAATGTGTAACAATCGCGAAAACCCAAGAGCCTATGCACACGACGTATTTGATACGCGCGGACGGCGTGAGTCACGGCAAGAAAGGATTGTAAATGTTTGTTTCTGCTTGTCCATATATGTGCTGAATAAACGTTTTATCTATTTATCTACTCTGTTAAATATTGTTTTTTCTATGAAAAATATAACAGACGTAACATTAATACGGAGAATAAAAATAAACTAGCTGTTCTTGGCATTCGTCTTCATAAAGTCTCATATTCATTTAAAGGAGTGATGTATACGCTTCTATAATAAGATTCCGATTGATATTCAAAATTTGCCGTTTATGAGGTTTAAAACTACAGTAAAACAAAAACTTTGTACTGAAGGTCATTGTACAGGTTCTGCGTACTTGGATGACAAAAAGCCGTGGTTTAGCTCTTGCAGGTAGTCTCGATCTAAGATGTTTAAATTAAATCTGTGGCTCTAGTGAAAAGGGGTACAAATCAAAAATGCCAACTTTGCAAGGAGACCGAAACAACAAGCGAAACAGTTAAAGCATAATATGATATTTTTATTTATTTATTTATTTGCTTTCAGGTAACATAAACCCATAAATACATACATACCTTACAGACTAATATACATAATAATACAATTAAAACAGTACTGACTAATTATTATTCACACGTATTGCCTGTGACGTATGACGCAACGCGGGTGTCCGATAGCCGGCCTCGGAAACGTTGGTACATGACCCCCTTCGGCCAAAACTCATCTTTCATGAAGGTCGACAGATGTTGAGTTGGTACTCTCACCACCAATTAATTAAAATTTACATAGGGGCGGGACACCAACTGCTCGACACTCAGGGTAGCATTGGCTTTCACCCGTATATACTCCACAATATCCGCAGTCTTTGTGGAGTAATGAAGCCGTGACACGTATAACAACGTTGTCGGTATCGCTGGACGCAGTAAATGATTAGGGCGAGACGGGGCGGTGCCACTAAGGTTACGGCTGGTGTACTCTTCCTTTCCACCTTTTTGAAACCGTCCTCGTCGCACTGTTCAACTCTTCTCGGTGATACTGATGATACATCTCCAGAGATGAGTATCCGTTTCATTTTCTTCTCCTTTGTTGGTAACTGCCTGGGTTGTGGTTGTGGAGCACTGGATCGGTTAGCAGCGGCAACAGTAGCGTAGTCACTTGAAGGGTCAACATGCACGCGTGACCTCTCTGCGATATTAAACGTTAAGTGTTTTTAACGTTTCCTTGTAACGTAGGTTTTTTTTACTTGTGCCCCTTTTCGCTAGATCCACAGAAATATTGTGATGATAAATGTATTCAAATGTATATTTACAAAGAGCAATCCGTAAAGTTTCTTGCTCATTCTTGTCAGGGGAATCTGCCTTTCGAATGAGCAGTAGAGTTTTAATCAGTGTGACGATTTGAAGTGTAATTTGCTATGAAATAAAAATTATTTGACTTTGTCCATCAGGCGAAGACAGATGGCTCTGCACCTTACTCCTGCAACGAGGCTACCGCGTGGAGTACTCGGCTGCGTCTGACGCGTACACGCACTGCCCTGAAGGTTTCAACGAGTTCTTCAACCAGCGCCGACGATGGGTGCCTTCGACTATGGCCAATATCTTCGATCTACTTGCGGACTCCAAGCACACCATCAAAGTCAACGATAATATATCTATGCTCTATATTTGTTATCAGGTATGTTGTAAATGTAGTTGGCAATTTAGATTTAAAATTGGCAGCTTTTTAATTGCTTGGCTTCAAAGGTTCCTTATAATTATAACAAGTTATAAATTCTATTTGATGCATTTTGTGTTCAACTTGACATGTGCTGAAGTTACCTACGAAGGCTATCTTTTTCGATTACTGATCCGAATACAATAAAGCTCTTGCGTCTAAGTATTTATAGGGCAGAATAATTTAATTAGTCTGCCCCCCGTGTAATTAAACCTCACAAATGCTCTGTATGCTGGTAGCTGTAAACGTACCTGACTGGGTGACGAAAAACTTTCATATATTTGTCATAGATGGCGCTACGGCTAGAAAGTCGTTGAAAACCAAATACAAAGATCCGACAACACACACTTGGAAAAATTCGTGAGGTTCGCTGGTTCGTTCCGTAGCTTAGTTGGCATAGCTTCTAGCATGGTTTGTTAGGAGACGTCGGTTCGAATCCGGCCGGATCGAAGGATTTTTTCTAAGTGTTCGATCTTTGTTAATAATTATAACAAAGTAGTGGAGTAATTTTACAAAAAATAATTGAATATCATGGTAGTGAAACATTCTGACATTCAATAAAAAATTAATACACTGTATTGTTTAATAATATAATTCAATATACGTCCCACTGTTTGGCACTGGAATCTTTCAAAGAGGGGGTTTACGTCATAGCTTGGCAGGTAGTTAAAAAGATCTTATAAGAAAATTTAGTATGGTACATGACCCAGTAAGCGCCCAGTTATACGAGGAGAAAGTTTTCGCGCGGCTACCGCCCAGGTACCAAGTCTTCATGTACATTAATGGCGAATCTGAATACCATTTACTAGACAACAACATTTCAATTCCTCTGAATAATACAACCACGCGGCCGCCGCGTAGACCAAATTCAAGCTAGGCTTGACCGCGCGCCCGACACGGTCATTTAAATTAAAACGTAAAAGCTAAGTGGAGTCCGCGATGCCGCCGCGCAGCGACCGCGTGGGTCTGTCATGGCAAAATACGCTCTAATTGATAAATCTTTCATAGATTTCTCATAGATGGCGCTACGACAAAAAAGTCGTTGAAAAACCAAATAGGAAGACACGACGCAAGCACGTAGAAGAATTCGTGAGGTCCGCTGGTTCGTTCCGTGGCTTAGTTGGTATAGCGTCTGACACGGTGTGCTAGAAGACGTCGTTTCGAATACGGCCGGATCGAAGGAAGTTTTTCTGAGTGTTCGATCTTTGTATTAATAATTATAACAAACTAGTGGAGTAATTTCATAAATAATAATTGAATATCAATTAAATAAAAAATTAAAATACGCTCTATTTGTTTAGCCTTTACATTTTAACGTAAACGAGCAGGCGGTCGCCGCGCGAAAGTTTTCGCCTCGTGTAACTGGGCGCTAAGGGTGTAGCAAGGAGACAAAAACTAATTCTTAAATTATTCTACTTCATACTTATTTAATAAATGAGAACGACGTGAGCTTTCCGTCAGTTGCGGTTTTATTTTTCAGTTGAAAAATCATTTATAGCATAGTTTCCCAAAGACCACTTTGAGGCCCCAGTGCCCCAGTGGGCGCTGAAGAATCATAAGGGGGCGGCAGGTGCCTCGGAAGCAATACGGGGGGCGTTGATCCTGTCCAGGGTGCTATATAAAATAAAAACCTGAATTAAATATATAAACTACACTACATATATTTTTGTAGTGTGTGTTTTGTTGTGAGAGTAGTTTGTCCTTGTGATTTTTTGTGTTAACTTAATATAAAAAATACGTGTTTTCAATTATTTTTTATGGTTTATGGAAAAATTTTACGGTATGGAAATTTTTTTATCTTGCCTAAGTAGGCGGTGAGCAAAACTGTTTGGGAACCTATGATTTCTTGAATAGTATGCTTTCTGGATGACAAATTGTTTTACTTTATTTTTAAATGTCTTTTTTAATTAATATTGAAATTTTATTATATATTAAAATAGTTCGTACTATGCCATAACTTACTAATTAAAGTCATTGGTACTTGCCGCCAGAACACCTAGAACCGTCGACCTCTCAATGTATATGCAACCGCTTTCCCCTTGGCTACAATCGTTATCTTTATTATTTCCAGTTCATGCTAATGGTGGGCACAGTCCTGGGTCCCGGCACGATCTTCCTTATGATGGTGGGTGCGATGAATGCAATTACCGGCATGAGCAACGGCAACGCGTTGCTGATCAACCTTATCCCCCTCACTGTGTTCCTCGTCGTCTGTATGACTTGCAAATCTAAAATACAGGTAATAAGGTTTAAAGATTTTTTAATAAAGGTAAGGCCAAATTTACATTGCCGCGGTATGAAATGGAATTTTTGAACGAAATTGTATGTACAGGGCGTAATAAAAATATTTTCAAGTTACATAGAGAGTGTTCTTAAAAAGGCTGCAACACGTAGGGAGAAGAATAAGCGAGCTGATGAATGTAAGTAAAGCGAGAGGGATTTATCAGGGTCGTACAAAGTGACAATTTATAGCCTCTACCCACCGAAATGGGAATCCAAGGGCATGAGTATATGTATGTATGTAAGGTTTAAAGCTTCGTCTGAGATATCTTGGTGTGTTAGCACTTCTCGGCATATTTTAAAAAAAAATATGCCGAGTAATATATGTGTGTGAGGCGCAATACCTGCCATTTTTATGGCAGGTGTTGCGCCTAAGCATGCATAGAACTGGGCTAACCAAAATTTGCCTCGACTTAAATGGAAATAAAAAATGATTTATTTTTTAGTTCAAAAACAAAGCGAACGAACCGCTTGAAACAAATTTTATTAAAAATACGAATAATTTAATTTTTCTAAAACTAAGGCTAAATACTTGATAAAATTAATGAAATTGAGTCCCCGCGTTACGGTGACCAAGTTGTAAAACAAAAATTGTGTAACATAAATTATGAAAAAAGTTTATGTTAACAAAATAATGAAACGTATACCAAGCGTAGTTAGTATACATGCGTATTTGAATGCGAAATTGTATTTTTACTTGCTATTTTTACGACGTTGTTATCCGTCAATATTTTTTGTTTATTTATATTTTTTAGTTACACTATTCTATTTTATATTCATTATTATTGTTTATATTAGTGACGATCATGTTATCCATTGACGTTACATTTTAACTATTTTTTTTATGATATGGAATAAATCATTTCTTTATTCCATTATACAGTCACATTAAAAATACCTTTTTAATATTGTTTCAGTTAATGTTAGCAGCCGTAATAACCTGTCTCTACGCAATGCTAATGATGATGGTGATCGTCGGTATAGCTCTCCAGGTCGTCGAGGACGGCTGGTTTGCCCCTTCCAGCATTTTTTTGATAGCTACGTTTGGCATATTCTTTATCACCGCAGCGTTACATCCTCAAGAAATTGGGTGTTTACTATTTATCATCGTGTATTACATAACTATCCCTTCTATGTATATGTTGCTCATTATTTACTCTTTGTGCAATTTGAACGACGTGTCGTGGGGAACTCGAGAAGTTGTACAGAAGAAAACTGCAAAGGTTGGTTGATTTTTAAAAATTGAATATGATATCGCGAGATCCCGATAGAGGCAAAACCCGATAAGTGTGTAAATTTTCGTAGTGTTTTATCTAAATCATTATAGTGCACTTTTATGCTCTTTCCTATGGTGAAATGCAAAAAGCAGTTTCACTAGTGTAACGCAAAAACATGCATTCATTTAGTTCTGTTCTTTTTTAAAAATTTTGTCTTAGAGCAATTCAACATTTTTAGCTATTGGATGACAAGTTATTGACGGGTATTTGAACTGAAAGTTAATGTTATTTATGTTAAAATGTAGATTCACTTCTGACCACCATCTCAGAGTGGTTTGTGTAGTTAAATAATAACTAAATAAATAATACCTACGTATTTCAGGAAATTGAACAAGAAAAGAAGGAGGCGGAAGAAGCCAAGAAAAAGGCAGATAGTCAAACGTTAATGAAAATATTCGGCAAGTCGGAGGAAACGAGCGGGACTGCGGAGTGCGGTGTATCGGGACTCTTCCGTTGTTTATGCTGTACTAACCCTAAGGACTACAAGGAGGATTTACATCTGCTTAAAATTGCCCAATCCATAGACAAAATTGAAAAGAAATTGGAGAATTTGTAAGCGTATATTTATGACTTCCCTTCTCGTTTTTATGTTCGTATTTGCTGAAGTAGGTAAAATATTTGTCTGACTGATCAATCCTTTTTACTAATTACAGTACCGGCACGCTATGATGACCGTTTTGACAGATTACAATACTGAAGTCAAATCTCAATTCATTATCGAAAAAATATAATCAAATGCGAGTCGCATCTATAAGTTTTTAGATTTATAACTAGTATGGCAAGGGGTAGCTGATTAAAGTTTTAATAAAACGAAAACAAAAATGTTTAATTAATATATCTTCAATTCGAAACTGCTTTATTTTGCTTTGACGCGAGTTTGTCGGAGGTAGAAGTTGTGCTGGACAGCGATCCTATGAGTGACGATCGTATTAGATTTCATTTTTTTAAATTTCGAATTTCGAAGAAAAGTGCCGAGTTGTGTCGTATATAACCAGAAATAGAGACGAAATAAGGGCCATATATTCATGGTAACATATTAGCGATACAGCTCTTATAAATATCAACTCCCGTTTGCACTGAAATATAGACAGGCCAACTACTGATCTGTGCGTACGTTATCCGTATATTCCAAAAAATATTCTGTATTTATTGTAATAAAGATAATATCTCTAACAATGCCGTGCTGTTCTATTCGGTGGTGTGGGAAAAACAGCAAAACATCTATTGCAAAACAAATGGAATCACATTTCATCGGTAATTAAATATTAAATATGTAATTTTGCAATTTTCGTCCATCTGCAAAGCGAGAGCAAAGCTCAAGTTAACTGGTCTTGGTGGATTTAAAGTGAAACAGTTGACGACATCCATTGACGACACCCGTCAATTGTTTCGAACTCGGGCTAGCCTATCGGAGCGCAGTTGTCACATTAATGATATGGCAGAATAGTTTTCAAACAAATTAAATGACATTTCGTCTCTATTTCTGGTTATAAACTCGATGATTTTACTGGACGTCACTATTGACAACAATGTACATCGATTAGTTCCTTCAAAGTAGTTATGAATTAATACGAAACTTGATGAGAGGACAAACGTCAAAACGGCCATCATAGCGTGCCGGTACTTTAAATAGATTCATTTTAGGCATTAGGTGACTGAGTTAGTCAGCCGTGACCATGGGAATTGTAAAGAGCCTAAAACGTTGATCTGTTTATAATTAAAAAAAAGTATCGGTTATTTTTGGGTCAAGTTACTTATGGAAGGTAAAGATGCCATAGTTTAGAGTTATCTTTTACACGAGTTAAACGTTGCATGACAGCTATAAAAACATGATTTATTTGCAGAGGAGCGACGGACAGCGTTCAGGAGCCTCCAACGTTCCGGGGCCGAGCCTCACTCGCTCGCCGCTCTTCAATGAGCCTACGCGCCGATTCGATTGAAGAAACCTCGGAATTTGAGGAAGGCGAACCCGGAAATGATATACCTAGGGTAAGTATAGGTTAAGCCAGCCGATTTTACGAAATTCTCTATTCTGACATAGAGAAGTTCTTAAGATCGACTACCTCGATCCGTAACTCTCTAACTTTAGTAGCAGTAGAGCTCCTTGTGAAAGAGTTTGTCCAGGGAAGTACCGCCACCTTACCTATTTCTGCCGCCAAGTAATAATGTGGGCATTGCTGCGTTCCGGTTTTGAAGGGTAATGGTGCTGGTGAGATTACAGGCACATGAGACTTGTCAACTTATGTCTCGGGGTGACGGGCGCAGTGGCAGTACCCCTCATATCTTTGCGATTTAAAGCTCTGAGTGGCACTGCAAGTGTTATGGACAGGCGTGTAGCTTACCATCAGGCGCACGACTTTCATCGTCCCGTCAGTTTTTTTTTTCGTCAGTTGATATTATAAAAAAAATACGGTTCACTTTGCTTGGGTCGAGCGAAATAAAGACAGGAACACTGTCTTTATTTCAGACTTTTTTACAAACGAAATTAAAGCCATTTGAAAAATGTAAATGTACGTGTTCTATTCAGTTCAGTTGATATAAAAAAATCTGTAATGTAAAATACTTATTGAGTACAGCGGTTTTCTTTTTTTTTTGCATCGTAAAAATTTTTAGGAAGCGTGTTTTCACACCGTATAGTAATTAGGGTATATCCTCAATTTCCCTGTATACTTTATTCCAAAATGATTGATTCGACACTTTCAGTGTTATGCGGAACCAACCAGAGTTATTTGAGGCTGTATAGACTCATTATGAGCTCTAACGACGAAAACTCTTGAGCGAAAATTCGACTTATCTCACGTAGTCGTGTTAAAACGATGATGGTAACAGGAAAAGTATAATTATTTTAAGTACTTTTTGCAAAAAAAAAGAGCTATAACGAATTACTATTTATGTTCAGCGTACTGTTGTGATCTTCCTTTGAATTACTCTGTTTTGTAAACAGGAAGATAGAGACGACCTCATCAACCCCTACTGGATTGAAGATCCGAATCTGCGAAAAGGAGAAGTGGACTTATTAACGACTGCAGAGACAGTATTCTGGAAGGACTTGATCGACACTTACTTGAGACCTATAGACGAGAATAAAGCGGAATTGGTAAGCGAAATAATTGATTGAATAACAGTTATTTATTATGCGAGGCTGCAACGCAGCAGTGAGCAGGGGAAGGAGCCTAAGATCATATAGAATCCTGAGCGTAGCGAGGGTTTCAAGCCACGAGACGCACAACATTTTGCTGCCGAGCGAAACACACAACTTTTCACTATAGCGAGGAAAATGGTAGATGAAAGAAAAACAGTTGTAACTATAAAATATCAGTTTTTTTAATTGAAAGAAAAAGTTTTTCTTCGGATGCGTTCTGAATTTACACCTTAACAATTTTTATTCTTGCTTGTACTTTTATTTTGTGTGATTAAGTGATTATTGAAATTATTTTAGTTCTTCGACGAATTAAAATAATTTAATAAACACGATTACTTATCATTGTCAATTTAATGTCATCAATAATATGAATAAAATATACCAAGGGATTTATTATTATTATTATTATTATATTATATATAGCTGGATTACCATTGATGTAGTCACTCATTGATATAGTTGTTCTCCCAGAAAGAGTCGCGGTGGGTAAAAATGATGTATGGGAGTCGTGGTCGGAGGGCTCCGGTGAGTACCAGAAAAATCCGAAACCTTAGATAAATGGACTGCATCAGGTGGGACCCCGGCTGCGCGGCCAAAGTATGACACCTACCGGCAGGGTCGTCAAACTAAAAATGGTCGCCATCTTGGTCAGTTTCTACCGGAAGGATATTACTCGTATTTCTTCTGAAGTATACAAGGATACGATTTGACGCGATTATATCAACTACCAGGCTCCTTACTACCCAAATAAACTTTACAAACATATATTTCTGAAACAAACACTACAAGCAGCAAACTGTCACAAGCCCAATACACAGGCCTCGCGAGCCGCTTTAGCGGCCCAGCGCAACGCACAACATACTATATGTGGGTAGCTCGATTACTACTGACTGATGTAGACATTTAGGTAATTGTTCTCCCAAAAGGAATAGAGATCGTTAAAATGATGTACAGGAATAGTGGGCGGAAAGGGGATCAGGAGGGGCAGAGGCTGTTCCCTCAAGTATCGGAGATGGGCACATGGCTCTCAAATAAAAGTTGTCAAGGATTTTGGTCAGCTTCTACCAGAACCGAAAGTGTTCTGATATGACGAATTTAAGATGGCCGCCTTACGAAATTGACTATTCTGAATCTTCGCAGCTGTCAATGATATACGACTGGTTTGTTCTGAGATATTTAAGGATACAACTTGACACGATCATACCAACTACCCCTACATGTAACTAATTTGGAGCAGTCAATAACCCTACTTCCTCCCATCCAAACTCAACCAAAGAGGATTCTCTACAGAAATATGAAGTCCAACTCACAATCAGTCACAAATCCCAAAAAAAGCCCTAAAGCAAAAGGCGCAACGCTCGCCGCTTAGTTATATATATAAAGCTACAAGTTCTTACTCACTGTTAGAAATAGAACGCATACTTCCCGATATGGTGGAAAAAAAGATATTTATACCGTTGTACGCGGATAGATTCTAAAGCAAAGAATCAAATTTGAGAAGACCTAAATGTGGAAAATATGAAAGAGTGATCAACGGCCTGCAAAAACTATAATATATGGAGGGAATATTTGTGCACTTTTATGAGGTACATCCTGGTCAATTTCCGCCGGAAGTAAAAAAATGTTCGAAATTCAAATAAATAAGATGGCCGCCATACAAATTTCAAAGCCTATCACGGAAACTATTAGAGATGGTAGGAGGTGCTCAAAGTAATGTCATAGAGATTAATAGTGGTCAACTGCCTGGGTTAAAAAAACAAGATGGCGAATTCAAAATGGCGGCCGAAGAAAAACTTGCCTCGATCCGGCTGAAAATTGGTATGCGGGGGTCTTTAGGAGTCCTTAACCATAATTTGGAGTTAAAAGTTTCTTTTCGCCATTTTTTAATATGGCTGTCATATAAGCGTTTTTTTTCGTCAAAAGTGGCTGCCGAAACGGACTTGCTCTGATTCGGCTGAAAATTGGCATGCGGGGGCCTCTAGAAGTGCCGGATAATAATTTGTGGTCAAAATTGGTTTTTCGTCATTTTCAAATATGGCTGCTATAGAAGCGTTCGTTGGCGGCAGAAAAAAAATGCTCAGATCCCTTTCAAAATTGGCATGTGTGGGTTTTGTAGGAGTGCTTGATAATAAAATGCGATCAAAAATGGTTTTACGCCATTTTTTAATATGGCCGCCTTTCAACAACTAATAATAATTAGCTCCAATTCAACTTAAAATTGATATGTGGGGATCTCTATAGGTGTTTGATAATAATTTGTCGTCGAAATTTATTTTTCGCCTTTTTTCAATATGGCTGCCATACAAACTTTTTTAGTGCCAGATAAAAATTTGCTCTAATTCGACTGAAAATGGCATGGCTTCAATCACAACTTGGGGTAAAAGTTTTGTTTCTGCCGTTTTTCGATATAGCCAGTAATTATAGACATAGTAATAGATATAGTAATTTTTTATGTAAATGTCTATTGAAAAAACATGCTTTGCTCGGACTGAAAATTTCTATTTCTGAAGATTTCTAAGATTGTTTGATAATAATTAGTGGTCAAAAAATATTTTTGCAATTTTGAAACATGGCTGCTATTAAAGAGCTATTTCAATTTTTTTAAAACAAAGCCATAAGTGCCGAGGCCGGAGGCCGAAGTCCCCGGAGGGCGAAGCCCGAAGCGTCCGCACGCCATCAAATAGAGATAATATAAGGAGACGTAATAGATTACGAGTACAAGATCTCACAATTGTAAAAATGTAAGCATGCTTTCCGATGTAGTGGAAATGAGATACTTATTATAGCGTTGTTGTATCTCAACCGTCTCTATGTTAGATTTCATTTTCTTGAAAGCTATGCCAAAGAGAAGTATTTAGGGGGGAAAAAATGTCAAACTACTACCGAATTTCCTGTACTATGTAGGTACTATGAATACCAAATCAACGATAACCCAGAATACTCAGACCAAAACCAACTTAGAAATGTTCGTTTCTTAAATTAGCATAAATCGGGAATCAACCTCCTCATCAAGAGCCCATAGTACTAACTGCTGTGCCACCGAAGAGCATGAGCACACCCCGTAAACTGAAACCGACCACGCGCCACAGGCCGAGCCCGACCACACCGTAGGTGGGGTACAGGATTCGTATTACATACATAAGTAATGTACGCATAAAATCACATAGTTCAACGTGTCATTATCTTTTTTTTCGTCGAAAGAAATAGTTTCGTGCACAGTGCAAAAACGCTTTTGCGCGCAGATTTCTAATGAGGAAGAAAGCCTTTCCGACCTAGTGAGGGAAAAATACAACTAGCAACTTTCTACCAACCACCAACTTGCTGCAAGCGGAATGAATCAAATAATAATAATAATAATAATAACGCACACACTCAACATAGCCCCGCACTAGGGAAACCCTTTGTCGTGGGTGCCATAGACACACACATAGACAACCACAAATTACACCCAAACTCACGAGAGAAATAAATGTAGGCCATACAAATATTTCTCCCGACCCGGGAATTGAACCTGGGGCCTCTGCGTGGCAGTCCGGCATGGTAACCGTTCGGCCACGGAGGCAGAGGCAATGAATGAATGAAATATATTTAATTGCAGGTTTGACTGTATATAGTGTGATTTTGCAGAATTTTAAAGAATTTAGTTTTCTAATTAACAGCACAAACTTTTATGACTAATATTGACTTAACGCTACGGATTCAGAATCAAAAAGTTGTCTCCATTTGTAATAGGCTATTTGACGGGTTAGATATATTGAAATATCTAGAAAATGCCTAATTTAGGGCGCCATAAAATTAGACGCTTATACAAGCGCTGCAGTGGCGCCAATGTGGCGCTGCAGTCGCACCACTATTTATTTTTTGTACAATATTTAGAAGTGTAGTTGCAGCGCCGCTGTCGTGTCACGCGCGCGTCTCTTTCGCAGTCACAATTAGTGAACTAAAAATTACTGAAGCGCCACAGACGCGCGGCTGCCGAGCCACCGTAGCGCTTCTACAAGCTAATTTGAAGGTGCCCTTAGTTTGATTTACAATTATCGTCGTTCTATATCGCGCATTGATAGAGGCCTAGGTCCAGCGGTGGACTCCGATAGGCTATTGTTATGTAGGCTATAGTTTATTGTATAAGGTAGATTTTACTATAAGACACAGCTTGAAACAAGTGCTACTGGCTTACTCTCAATTGCTCCTAGTGCTCAGCAGGCTGTCGATGCTGTCAACTTCTTCTTTACCAATATTGGGGCTAAGCTTACTGATAAAATTGTAAGTAAAAATCCCCCCGCGCCCTTGGTAGCCGATGCCTCTGCATGTAATTCCCTCATGTTGCTTGAAACGGATAATGAGGAGGTAGAAAGAATACTGATTTCTCTGAAAAGTCGTGCAGATACTAAAATCATTTAAAGATGTCCTTGTACCACATATGTATAACACGTATTTGCAACCTGTCCATATCCCAGGGTCTCTTCCCTGATGTATTTAAAAAGTCTATTATACATCTCATATTTAAGAGTGGGGATAGAGACCTGATTACTAATTACCGCCGAATCTCAATTTTATCGGCTCTGTCGAAGGTACTTGAGCGTATAATGAATACCAGTCTTGTGGACTATTTCGAAACTAACTCTCTCTTATCCTCACAGCAATATGGATTCCGTAGGGGCAAATCGACTAATGATGCAATTCAAGCTCTAACCGACTACGTCGTAACGAATCTGGATTCGCGTAGAAAGTGCATAGGAATATTTCTGGACCTAGCCAAAGCTTTCGACACGGTCGCTATCCCCATACTTCTGAAGAGGCTCGAGGCCTTGGGTATCAGGGATAGGCAATTGGAACTTTTTAGAAGTTACCTATGTAATAGAACACAACGTGTACGCATGGGCGACCATACTAGTACCGACCTACCTACTAAAATCGGGATGCCTCAAGGTAGTATTGTTGGACCTACCCTATTCTTGACCTACATTAAGGAATTATGTTGCCTAGAGTTAAGGTGGAAAGAACAATAAATAAATTATTATTATTATTATTTTATTGCCAAAATGTATGGTCCTGATTCTAAATCTGATAAGCAATCTTATAGTCCATATATATATATATATTGTTCACTCACTGTTTTGCCCGTGCATTATACAATTTTTTTTTTCAAATCCTAGGCCCGCATCAAGAAAGACCTCAAGGACCTCCGAGACATGATGGTGTTCGCGTTTTTGATGGTGAATGTTCTGTTCGTGCTGGTCATTTTCCTTCTTCAGCTTAACCAGGACATGTTGCACTTCCGGTGGCCGTTAGGACAGAAAAATTATATTGTTTACGACTCCGACCTTCACTTTGTGAGTACATTTTTTTCAAATTATACTAAATTGCGCCCTCTGGTCTTTGATATATACAGTCAAACTTATTTAATTATATGCCGCAAATCTTTAATTTTCATATTCTGTATTTACACTACCAAAAATAATTGCATTAAATGCGATCTTACCGCACGGCTGTTTAAACCAGTATATCGACTTATAATTTGTTTATCGATATTATTTTGTTCTATTTTAATTTATATTATATTTTTATTAATTCATATTATACAGGGTTATTTTAAAATACAACAACCTCGCGTGTATACTTATATCATTCTTATTAAATTTATAAGACAACGTGTCAAGTAACCTTAAATAAGGTAACATTAAGTAAATACCAATTATCTGGCTTTAAACTAGAAATTTCCTAGTAAAGCAACGAAACTTACTACGGGGTACGCACATAACAGAACCAATTTAGAAAAGGTTCCCAAATTAGACCTGTCGAGAATGACCCGCAATGTTAACTGAGTTCGTTAAATGTATCTAAACTCCAGAAATCAACATTTTCCTATTATTGTTTCTAAATTTTTATTGTAAATTGCGAACAGAATCATAGATATATTTCTTGGCTTCTGGCAAAAGAATAAGAATTAAAAAGCTTGCCGCTTTCATGTTTCTCAATTTGAAATGTAATATGACATTTATGACAACAGGTGATCATCGACAGCGACTACTTGCAGCTAGAGCCGATCGGGTCTCTATTCTTGGTTTTCTTCGGGACAGTAATGCTAATACAGTTCGTCGCTATGCTAATGCATCGCTTGGGTACTCTTACGCAGCTGCTCTCGACTGTGCAGCTTAATTGGTATTGTACTAGAGCGGTAAGTTTTATATAATAACTAGGGCTTTCATTGAAGGAATCTCCTACTCGAAAATTTTGCGAGTCTCGACGACTTTTTGGCATTTTCGAGAGTCGTGATTGATGTTTTCAGTCACGGGAATATGGGGACTTTTGAAACTTAGTCACTTAATTAAATAGTATTAAAAATTTACTGAACCAACAGTAATTTTTTATTCTGGTTACATGGACTTGGCAATACTGTAGAATGGGGTTTAGTATATATAATCTGTGGAGATTGAAGAGCGATACTTATAAAATCACAATAAAGAAAAATGGCGTGTTTTTGTAGTTATTGTTTTTACACAAATTAAATTTTTAGTTTATGGGCAATTCTTACGAATTCACGAAATTCTTGTCCTTTAGGTTTATAAAAAAAAGTATTTGATTATTGCCGTGAAATTAATATTTATTAGCAATTATACTTCAATTGCTACTAATGTCTACATAAAATATTGATTATTCTATTTAAATAATAATAATAATATAAAAATATCCCCAAAATCTTTCAATCGCTATGTCCCATGTTCCATAATCAAACACGTTCTGTGCTTTAAATCAACACATTTGGTAAAAATAACCTTTAAATTTTAAACATTCGATCAAATAAAATGTGTTTTAGCGAAATTAAAGAAATCCTGTGGTAAAAACACGATAAAGAAATTAAAAAAAATTTTTTTTTTCATGATTTATTTTAAATTCGTCATTCCCTTACCGTCATTCCCTCACCCTCAAATGTTCTGACTGTCCTGTACTTTTTCTTAAAAATAATTTATTCTGGGGACCACTATATCATCAAAAACTATTTACATAAGTACTATGAAATTTACGAATAATAAGTACAAATTCTTCCTAATATTTTTTATAAACATCGAAAGCGTAGGACAGTCAGAAGAATTCTGACTGTCCTACACTTTTTCTTAAAAGTAATTTATTTTGGGGACCACTATATTATCAAAAACTATTTACATAAGTACTAAGAAATTTACGAATAATAAATACAAATTCTTCCTAATAATTTTTATAAACATCGAAAGCACGAATTTCGGAAATTCATGAGAACATAAACTATTTAAGGGTTTAAATATTATTATGTTTTGAGTTTCTTAATTATTTGTTGCCTGTATAAGCTGATGGCTATATAGAGAATGCTTGCTAAAACAAAAAAATATATATAATCAGAACTTTTAATGTAGTTTTAGGTCAATAGTAGTATTAATTGATCCGTTCACTACAAACTTTCCCAACAGCCCGAAGAAATGACCGGACAAGCTCTCCTAACGAAGCACGCTATCAATATAGCTAAAGACTTACAAAGGTTGACCGATGATCCCGGCCGGCCTGGTCTGAATGAAAGTCACGTGACCAAGAGAAATACCGTCTATCACCTGGAACAGGCAAGAGAGGCGAAGCAGAACTTTGTCAACCTGGACACCACCTTTAAACGGAGATTAACTACCCTAGGTCGAGGTAAGTTAATAATGAAAACACAGCAATGTAAATTGGGCCTTAAAGTTATTTAAGGCCCAATTTATATTGCTGCGGCACGGATTTTTGCACCCATAGCATAATGAACTTTATGTCAATTCTGTAACGTACAAACTAGATACGAGCCAAGAAACAGGTCGCGCGTCTTCCAGAGAATTCTCGCCCAGTCTCGGGAATTCCGCAGCTACCGTATCATATCTATAATTAGATGTTTAAAATGTAAACAAAGGGAATAACCGAGCAAAAAATAAATACATTTTTTACCTGACTAGCTCGGAAAGACTTTCTTTCTCATTAGAAATCTGTGCACCAAAGCGTTTTTTCCTCGCTAGCGTGGAAAACGTTTTTGTACCTTTTTTTTTCGATGAAAGAAAAGCGTAATGACAAGTTCACCTACGCGATTTATCGTACATTATTTTATGTAATATAAATCCGTTGGTATATTTTATTAATATATTTTATTCTTATTATTGTTGACATTAAATTGACAACGATAACTAATTTTGTTTATTAAAACTGATTTGTTATAGTTCAACTGTTTTTCTTTCATCTACCATAATAGTGAGGTGAAAAGTTGTGTGTTTCGCTCGACAGCAAAGTTGTTTTGCGTCTCGTGTCTTGAAACCCTCGCTACGCTCAGGATTCCATTTTTGCTCTATTTTTGCAATCTTAGCATCCTTCGCTTGCTCAAGTTTCACTCGCGTCAAACAACAGCTTTGCAGCCTTGCATAACGAATAACTAAATGATAGTTTTCTATTTTTGACGGTAATAATCGATTAGAGCTCTTTTCAAGCTGTAATCTGAAAAACTTCACATTTTGCAATATAAATTTTTACTTAATTTCGTTTAATACAATTATAATAAAAGGCAAGAAGCACGAATAATCATAGATATTATTCGTGCTTCGTTTCTCGAATTTGAATGTTTTTTTTTGTCTCGTAGTAGTAGTAGTGCGTATAAATTATTGTGTGTTGTTGTTAAAGTTTTGTTTATTATTAATGTTTTGAAGTAGATAATTAATATTGTAGAAAATGAGAACCTCCTTTTCCAATCACGTTAAAAATACAAGATTTAGCACACCTGCATTTACACTTTGACAATGACATTTCTTTGTTTACATTTTGAGACATCTAATCACATCGAGTATATAACCAGAAATAGAGACGAAATAAGGGTCATCTATCCCTAGCAATTCATCAGGCAAATGGGCCTTATATCACTTTTAAGTATCAACTCTCGTTTGCGCTGAAATCACAAATTAGAAAGCTGAAATAGTACAGCGCAAAACAACTTACCTGTGTGTATGTCTCCGTATATTCCAAAAATATTCTGTATTTATTGTAATAAGGATATACCTCTAACTATTCCTCCATTATAGCGAAGCGCAAATTAAACTGGTCGATTCGAAGTGAAACCATTGACGACACCCGTCAGTTGTTTCGAATTCGGGCTGGCCAATCGGAGCGCAGTTGTCACCGTAATGATTTGGCAGAAAAGTTTTTAAACAAATTAAATGACATTTCATCTCTATTTCTAGTTATATACTCGATGTTTAATTATTATGATTCATACTATAGTTGATACATTACACAATTGACATAAAGTTATTATAGGACTTGTGAAAAACCCTAAACATTGGTTTATTAGTAAAGTAAAACAAATATACACGATTTAGAGGCGAAAAAACGGTTTTATTTCCAATGTATAGTAATCGTGTAAACCTAAGAACTCCATAAATAACAACAATAAAAACATCAGTGAGCTAACTCTCTTGTAAAACTATAACCGCTTTCGTGTTGCTCGTGCTCCTTAAACTTGTTTTAAGGTGGTTTTCACCGGCGAAGCGAGACGAGACTTGAAATCTCGCTGGCTTATTTCCACCAAAAATTGCCATTAATAGCTGTAGTTATGAATAGTGACGAATTCCATGATGTTCAGTTCGTCTAGCTATAAACACGCGGCTGAAGTAACATGTTCCGTAAACTATTATTATTAAATATGGTAACGGAAGAACAATCAAACGAAGCCATCTTTTCTTTAATCTCAAATCGTACGTATCCCACAATCTCGCGATTGATATTAAAATGCAAAGCGAGCTCGCGCGAGATCGTGTGTGCATTCGTGTGCTCGCGCGAGACATCGTGTTTCCATTGTAGAGTATAATTCTCTATGTAGGCAGCAATACGGTTTAATATTACATCAACAAATAATTCAATTCTCACCGCGCTCATCCTCGTCAATCTAGACTATTTCCACCGAATATAAGTATAAGAAGATATAAGTATAAATATAAGAGAGATGTAAAAGCTGATGGAAGTACCTTTACTGTCCGAGTATTTTGGGTTGGTATGGTATGTCGATTCGGTGGAATGAGATCAGCTATATTATTATCTTTGACACGGATAGAAATACTTCGCTTCATTTATCCAATATAAGAGAGACCGTACCTACTTGTAATTAAGCCTGTAAACTCATGTATCCTGTAAATTACAATAGCATCTAAATATAAAATAATTATGTTATGTTTATGTACGTATCGTTAAAAATAATTTTGTCGAAAAAATAATTGAATGTAGGTTACACCACTTTAGCGCTGATAGCCTCAAATAGGTCTTGACAGATGCACGCCTGAGGAATTTTCCAATCTTGTCTGTAACACCTTTCGCATAAGGTAAAATAACAGGTCGTCGATTGTTGGTGATTTCATACGGACTTTGATTTCAGATGTTTCGATTCCTCTACCCGGCAACGCAACGACGCGACGTTTGACGTTGCAAGCTTTGGAAGAAAAAGGAGTATCTCTAAAAGAGAAAATAGAGAAACGCCGTTCCACAATTAAACCTCGACAAGAGCCTATTACCAGTTACGAGCCCTTTTCAATGTCCACATCTTTAGAAGAACGATTGCCCTCTAGGAGATCAACGGTACTTTTTTAAAGTGTTTTATTTTAACTTGTTCAATACTAGCGCCAAAAATTCAATCCAAAAATAACTTGAACTATGTAATAATAGTCAGTTTATTCCAGGTAAACCGTATGCAGCCAAACCAGCGGTTAACGGGCGCCGTGTACACTAACAGGGGTTATGATTCAGCTGGAGACAGCGACGAGCAAAGTTCTCCTGTACCCAGGCGGTCCACTGTACGGTTCAAGAAGTTGGGATCATAAGATTTTATACTAAAAGTATTTTAAAGAAACTTACAACTGTCTATGGATAAAGTACTTATACAAAAAAAACCATAAAGTATGGACTCGTATTTCGACCTCCTTGTAAGGTATTTGGATTTCGGTAACTTTCTAGATCTCTAAAAAAATGTCAATTAGGTACGCTGATTTTGTTTAACAATAAAACTGAAACTATATAAGATATACAAAAACCGCTGATCCCAGATATATTAATACCTCAATTTAGCTAAAAATTTCGATTACGCTATGTCAGATAAGTGTCACTTAAATGTCATTTAATAGTTCCTAGACAGTAACGGCATTTAACGTAAAATTAGGTATCAGAATATGATACTACGAAATACCCCGTTTCGCAATAGAAGTCTTAAAAACAACTACGAGCTTTACAATGTGATTTCCAAGTGCTTTCTGTGTACTTGCCGCCTACTACTTTTCCATAGAGAAGTATCAACAAGGTACTAATAAAATTCAATGAAAATGTAATAATTATAACAATATTCAATTATTTTCATTTGTGCACGTTACATTAAGACAGTACGGACGCACACCGACGTATTTGTATGAAGTGATATAAATATGCAAGTGCCATTGAAGTTTCTAAGAGCAAAAGTAAATTTTAACCAATTTTTTTCTCTAAAACGCATATGTTTTTAGTACCAACTAATTCAATATGACACAACGGCAATCATCCTAGTACTGTCATAGCCGTACTTTCTTTTATACAAGAATTTTGACGGGACCAGGAGGAGCAGCCATCAGTGACGAAGTATAAAATATTATAATAAATCAATATAAGCCTACGGCACCAAGTAGAGACATTTTGGGAGTGCGTTACTATTTATGTACTGTCCATGAACGGGTTAAGTTACAAGGCACTAAGTGTGACCTAATTAGTTAGCTACAAAAATATGTCTAGTTTGTTGAAGTTTTGCTGTTATTATTTTTCATTTCCCCTATTTACTGTTTTTGGTGAAAAAATATTTGATTTATTACACTATAGTCCAATAAATGATTATCACTAGTATCAGGTTTCTTACCACGGTATGACTTCTTTTTATTCGAACGACTCAACTCAGTCAACCCGTGACCATGGAGCGTGCAACCGTTCCGAAATATCGGGAAAATAAAAAGAAGTCATGCCGTGGTAAGAAACCTGATACTAGTGATAATCATTTAGTGATTAACCACGAAAGTCTTAAAATCTATACACTATAGTCCATTTGTTTAGAAACTTAACAAAATGTAAACAATTAATAAATATACATTTATAAAATGATTTTTACTTACCTTCAAACACAAAATACAAATACTTAGCTCCGTGCACACATGCACTTACATATCGAATAAGTTATTTTGATGCACTATTCACACTTTATTGCATTTATTATTTCAATGAACAATGTCACTCCTAGTCGTTTGTTACATTATTGCTTACAAATAACTAGCCAGTGCATTAGGGAACTGGCATATGCTGAGTCAGCGCCATTTCATTGATATGGCAAAAATGTTTTAGTTTTTCTTTTGTATGAAATATATATTTGTGTTATATTAGTGAATAAAGAGTTTATCGTCGGCTAAATTTGAAAACTGCGTAACTCCGTTTTTGGACGATACCCCTTTTTTAGTTGTAAAGGTATAGTCATAGATTGTTATATAATTATTTCTAGTAATTCTGTTTATTTATCTTATTCAACAGTATCCTTCTACAACAGTAAATAGGCGTAGAGCTCCTTGTGAAAGAGTTCAGCCAGGGTAGTATTGTCACCTTATCTATTTCTGCTGCCAAGCAGTAATGTCACCTTTACTGTGATCCGGTTTCGAAGGGCAAGGGTGCTGGTGAAATTACAGGCACATGGGACTTGTCCACTTATGTCTCAGGGTGACGAGCGCTGTGGCAGTGCCCCTCAGATATTTGTGATTTAAAGCTCTGGTGGCATTGTAATTGTTATGGACAGGCGTGTTGCTTACCACCAGCCGCACGACTTGTTCGTCCCGTCACTTAAATTATAATTAATAAAAATAATAAAAAGACCGTCAATGGCGGTTACGAGGTTTACGAATTTAGCTAATGTTATCTATCTAGTTGAAAGTCAGTTGTTCGTGTTTGCTGTTTAGAAATTAAAAGTAGAGTAAGTTACATAACATTCGAAAGAAATCATACTTTTCTGACATAATTGAATATTTTAATAATTACTTGTTATAGCTGATAACTTTAATGTTATCGAGTGTGTGAATACGTACTTGCATCACAATGTAGTTAGGAGTAGGATACGGCAGTCAGTCGTGTTCCGCCACACCTCTCTAAGTAAAACGCTTTTGTAACTGTATCCCATTTGGCAACTTGATGCTATGATTATTAAAAGGCCTTTTATTCACTAGTTCCTTTTATTTAATTTTTATATTGATGAAAATTTACCAGACATTTTGCCAATAACACATGCTCTATACAGTGTTTTTTTAATGGGACAGTATGGGGAACTCCGAAATTATAGGCGATACAGGGACGCTGTGTTAGGAACTATAATTTCTTTGTGAAAACTATTGGTCAAGCGCGAGTTGTCCCTAAAAATGAATAAAATTGATTATTTTTTTTAGTGCATATTCAATTTCACCTACGTCTGCTCTCACGATTTTATCTTCGAGTACAATCAAATTATCCTTACATGGAACTGAGTCGGTCAGCATTAAAAGAAATCTATCCATTTTATATATTTTTAACGGATAACTCGCCCTTGACCAAAAAATTGACTATGCCAAAATTGTTTTCACAATAAACACTGGTTCCTAAGGCAGGTTGTCTGATCTATGAATTCGGATTTCCCCATACTGTCCCAGTTGAATCAACACACTGTATAAGGTACTTAATATTTTATTTATATATATTTTTTAAGTAGTCCAGCTACTATTGTTTTGCCTGTTAAACGTTAACCAGTGGATGCGTGTAAGCTGATGGTGAAGCTCGATTTTGTATTCTAGTATTTTATATTATTGTTAACATACATAATTTGTTTTGTGGTACAATGAAGCATTTCGATTTCGATACATACATTTCGCACATGAAATCAAATACTGTCCTATACGCAAAAATGGTGGAATTGAGTAACGAGATTTGTTCCAAGTTCAAAAGGTTACTGAATGAGACCTATAAATTTCATATTGCCGTTTACAAGTGAATAACTAATTATATATAAATAAAATAATACCGTTGTTCCCAATAAGACTATTCAGTATTTAAAAAAATTTCAAATCGTGTTTTCTCAACTCCATCATCTTTTAGTTACGCCAATAGATCAGCCACAGATATGTGCGGAGTATTAAAACTTTTTAGAAATACATTGTCTCGGGAGTGCGAGGTCCCAGGTGAGTCAACTAGAAGTGAGGGGTCAAGTTAGAGCGGTACTGAGCTTGCGCGCAGACCGCAGAGGCAGTGAGCGCGCGGCGACCCGACCGACGTAACGTGCGCGAGTGACGCACCATGCGTAGCGACGTGCTTCGCGTGTGCACCATACCTCTAACTTAAATTCTGTGAAGTGGCACTATTAACCATACACACATATCGGGAATACCTCCTTGGATTGCCAAAAACTGAACGGTAAGTTGAATTTATATTTTCGAGGTCTCCGCAAGTTTCTACACTTTGGTGAGAGCTGGCCTTTCAAAATTTTAAAGGCTATATCCAGCTGATGTTCGCGATACCATTTATTGTCGATATCGATGTATAAACAGATATTTCCAATAAACCTTATGATAGCATATTTGAATAATAAGCTGTTATGAGTCGAAGCAACTTTCGCTTTCAGAAGCGAAGAAAGTTAGTAAAATTACCTTACCATAAAAGTGGGTTGAAAACAAAATTTTAACGCCCAATCTCGCGAGCAATTGTTAATTCTAAGGAACTTACAACTAAATTAGCATTGTGTCTACGCATTTGCAATCATAAATAAAAGTGAATGTAGGCGCAAAGGCATGGGAGACAATAAGAATGTGAAACAAGGACAAAACGTAATTTGCTTCGTGAATTAATGGAGCCTTTTAACACTCTTTTGTTTATAGATAGCAATATAACAATGAATTAGTGATAGGACATTAGATAACGTCGAACTCTATAGTATAGATAGAGTCAAATATTCGCGGCCATTAATTTAGAAATTGAGGTGACCTTTTATGCTATAAAATGCTACCAATCACTTCAATGAATCGAGTTTACATTTGGTAGAGCGGTACATAAGCGTTTCCTAGGAATTCAATTGTGGCCATAAAGCTACGAAACCAGCGCAGCGTGGCGGCCCTAAGACCTCGCACGCATCCGGCTCCGACCGACAGTCGTTCTCACTTGAAGAATAGTTATTTCCGCGACTAATTAGACGCAATGTTTAATAACCTGGGGTTGCTAAATACGACCTGCTATCGCGTAACACTAATTGTATTTAAGAAATAATTATAGTTTAATGGTATGTTCCAAATACGTTATGAAAGTTCGCAATACTCTATTGTAAGAGTCGTCAAGGTTTCACACGAATTTGATCTAATAATATTTTGTCAAACAATGAGCCTGAATTGTATGATTTGACCTTGGTTTAATTTTCTTAGAATAGTTCTTTAATCACAGCACAGTTAGATTTTACAAGTTTCGGTTAAAAGAAAAAGTTTTAAACATCCTTGACTTATAGACAAGACACAGATGTCTTACGTAAAATTATAGAGAATTAGTTGCACTCACTGGAGGGAACAGTTACTAAGACATTTGGCGCATAAACTGTTTGCTTGTAACTTCTGGATTCTTCTGAGAAAATCGGATAAAAAATGCGAAAGTTCATTTCAATTGGCACTTGACCGGAAGAAAGTGGAATACGATTAGCATGTTATTACGTCAGAGTACGTAGACAGTCGTGAGTCGAGACGTACTTGTACGCCTTCATCAGTCTTCGTCCTTGTAGAACTACACTTACCTATGGATTACAATACTTATCTATAATAATGTAGGTATACGTTTTACAACTTCACTCTTTACTCCGTAGTCAAATTAAGTAGATTAAAAAATTAAAATCCTAATGATGCAGGTTTCATGGTGATGAAGGTTCACGCTCTTTGGTAAAATGTGAATTGGGTCTCTCACCTCCTAAGAGACTCGTGCACTGCAGCGGGACCTATAATGGATTGCTTGTGTATAGTTCGTTTTTTTAGAAGGAAATTTTGAACCTTTTGTCAGGCGTCATTTCTTTCTGTCATTTTGTAAGCAAAGCAATTTAATAAAAACCGTAAAACAAAATATTTATGTAATTGTTACGTTTTTGGTTGTAACATCCAGTAAATATTAAATGAAAATTATTTATCTTTACAAACTTAATATATTTCAAAACTTGCACTGTAAAAAACCTAAAGAAACAAAGTGTTATATACATTAATAAGAAATTTTTTAAATATTAACATATTATCGTGTCATTGTCATTAGTTATCAATTCTTATAGAATTTTCCTTTACTGTATTTTTAATTTAGTCTAAAGAAAAGTTTACGATCACTGCTTCTTTGTTTACAATTTTTTTAATACTAAAAAACAAAGTTATATTAACTTCAGGATTCCATGTCATATACTTCTTAGCATTTTATTTTGCTAGCTTGTCAATTTTACTGTTCATGAACAGTATCGATTAAACAAAGAAGCTGACTTAAATAGATAACTTATTTGGGAAAAAACCTGTTTTGTTCCTTCGCAGTTCTTCCGTGTTGGACAAGTCAAACTTCATATTTTGATCCCAAACGTTTTAATTTAGGTCGAATAGATGCATTAAACATAATTTTATAATTATACAGGTTTAATTTGACAAATGCGATTACGAAACGTCGAATTATGTTAACCAACATGACGTCACGAACTTGATTTTGTAATAAGTAAACTTTGACAATTGAGAAATGAAACTATATTTTTCTGATCTAAATCACGCATACGTTATTTAAAAAATCAACGTTTCGGGCTCGTTTACGAGTCCCATAGTCGCGGCTGACCATGTTGGTTTCATTTCTTATATTCAATTTCTCAGTCCACAGGTTTTTTACCAGCATCCTTAGAGCGGTTATAGACGGCGATTTTTAGTAACGATACAAACGCGATGCAGTCGCTAATCTCTTCTCTCAGGCTACCTTTATACACGCGCGCGAATTTAAGCAGCGATGCAAGAGCGCGAATATACGGTACAAACGAGCGATTGCATGGCTGTTCAAAGTCGCCGTGTGTCTCTTACCCTTCAAAACCGGAATGCAGTAATGCTCACATTACTGCTTGATGGCAGAAATAGGTAAGGAGGCAGTATTTCCAAGCTCTGAGTGGCACTGCAACTGGTATGGTCAGGCGTATAGCTTACCATCAGGCGCACGACTTGTTGGTCCCGACACCTGATGTTACAAAAAATCCCTGCACGAATTTCAAGGAGCTCTACTGTCACTTAATTATTTTAATTTTTGTTTACTTATTTAGTAACTTTAAAACTAAATTCATTACAATGAAATATTACATCAATGTATATACACATACTCGTATAGCAGTTACATAACTATAATTAAAAAAAATGAGTAAACGTGATCGATTTATGGTTTTTTTGTATTTATTGGTATAACTAAATAAGTTTGATTTCAAAACTTAAATAATCTACGCAGGTACACTTTAATAAAATACCTTCATAAAACAATATGGAAGGAATATTGAATCGTGGGAATTAGTAATTTTCGAACAATATTAGAGTCGAAATAATACAATCGCATAATTCAAGGCGCATTTGACACAGCGCTCGATCCAGTTACCGTTCTACCATTACAAAAGAGTTCAACGAGACACACCAGCGCAGTCCGAACGCCAGTCGCTTTCAAAGGACGCCCGCTTCTATATCGACGACTTCAACGTTTGATTGTATATTATACACATATACACTTAGTATTTATTACATTCACTATTCTTTTTAAATATAACTTATAGAAGAGATATATATTTACATTATTCACGCCCCTCTTGCAATTGTATTACTAAAGTATTGTGAGTGAGCTGTCTATCTGTATGTCTGTCTTTATTAAAGATTTGATTTTTTTTTAAATTCCAAGTGACGGAAGAAACAAGTCATGCACGTGATGGTAAGCGACACGCCTATCCAACACTAAAAGTTGCAGTGCCACTGGGAGCTTTAAATCGCAAAAATCTTGGTGGCGGGCGCTGTGCCCGTCACCCTAAAACATAAGTTAACAAGTCCCATATATGTAATTTCACCAGCACCCTTATACTTCCTAGCCACAACACAGTAATGCTCATATTACTACTTGGCGGGAGAAATAGGTAAGGTGGCAGTACTGTCCTGAACGACCTCTCAGAGGCTACTGAAAAGTGTGTGGTGTCTTCTAAAAAGAGGGTTCGCATTGTAGTTCACTTCAAATGAAGTTCCAGAATAAAAGTAGTACGAGCCTATCTATTACATAAAGGAATAGTTCAAAATAACCCTGACTTATTTACTGACTTAAGTTGTAAAATATTACACTATTACTATAACATTCTGTAAATGTGTGTCTGTGAAAACTATAAAATTACGTTGTAATACGTACAAAAAATGAGTTAGAATGTGCAATTCATGAAATATTGTCATGTTTTTAGTACCTCATAGTATACAAATAAGTATGATATCACTGTAAGTATTAATTGTTAAGTTAGTATTACTTAAATTATGAAGCCACGGTAGCCTAATGGTTTGACCTAGTGCCTCAAGCAGACGCCGTGGGTTCGAATCCGGGCTCGCACCTCAGAGTTTCTCAGAATTTATGTGCGAAAAGGAAAACATCGTGAGGAAACCTGGGGGCCTACCACAATCTCTTAAAACAATATTACTTTAACCTTACATTTACTTTTCGTACCATAACGCGCTTAAAGTAAGCTTATTGTAATGTTAAAACTATGATGTTTTATTGGCAGCTTTGTGACTATTCATTCACTCAATTCATACCATGACGCGACTTTAACATTAAAGTAATATTGCTCTTATGTCAAATTTAGCAATCTTAAAATAGTTACACGGATGCAATGGAAACAATATTATTTTCAGTTTTATTGTCTTAATATTGATTTGTAATGACTAAAAGTTAATTTGAACTTATTTATTTGCATAGTGTAAATTTGAGACGGGGCAGCAAGACCAGTCACCTTAATCGTTTTAGTTACAGGAAAATGGTTCTACAAGACTATCGATGAATTTTGAAGATATTTTGATTGACATTCACAGATTTTGAAAAAATGGTACTGTCAGCAAGATAAAAGGCAATTTTTACAATACTTTTTTTATGCTATTCGATCCGGTCTCTGGTAAGGATCAATAGTCTCTATGGGATCAACTGAAGTAAGAGTACTCGAAATATCAGAAATCGCAAAAGTCTTTTTACCATATATTTTCTAGGGATATAATTATTTAGTAATCAGTTATTATTTGTTATGTTCTTATATTATAGGTACTTAAAAATAAAAATACGCGATGTTTATAAATATTATAATACCTTGGCGAAACTAACAGTTGACACTAGTGACACTACTAGGGCTAGCAATGCGAATATCCGAATATTCGTTT